TGAGTTGCGCCCACCCTCACTAGAGCCTCCCTAGCTCGTACCAGCGCCTTTCACCCCTCCTGTGGGGCCAGGCAGCCCACCCCCGAAAGGTCGAGGGCCAACATAAGGCAGGAGAGGGTGTCAAGAACTTCGTGCTCACTGCCTTTTGTAAACTCGCAGTTTCGCCCTTTGATTTGTTTATAGGACTAGTATGGGCCCTCACATGGTGTGATAACAAGAATTAAAATGGCACCGCCCCATCGTGTTTCTTTTTTTTTTTTTATAGAACAAGGGAGTAATTACATTGTCGTTCCCGTTGAGTGCACTTGAAAATAAATCGAACTCAATGTGTGTCATAAAAAACAAAAATATTCATACGGCAGTTTTTGTTGTTCTGACGATTTTTATAGCAGCAGTCCGAGAAAATACTCGCATGTTAATGGTGACATTTTCTGAAAGCGAGATTCTCTATACTCCGTGTCAATAGTTGTGTGCAGTGCATGCGAAGGCAACGCCAGACGAATAGAGAAAGGGCGAGCACTAGGAAGGCGGGAAGAGAGAGGAGGGCAAGGGAGAGCACTAGGAAGGTTAGAGAGGAGAGGATAGTGCTTGCCCTTTCTCCCCTTGCCCGGCATTGCCTTCGCCTGTACTGCACGCAACTAGTGACACGGGGTATAGCTCACAGCTTTATATTTGGCAGTTGGTCCCGCTGAGCGAGAGTTCGTGTAGCCGAGGTCAGTTTTTGAGCGAAGAGCTCACACTTACACTGCCGTAGAAGAATTACCGTTCAGATAATGAACAGGACAAAAAGCCAGGAAACAACAATTAAATTAAACACAAGGCAGGAACAGTGTCCAAATAGGAAGTGGATATTTTGCCGGCAGCCGGCGTAGGAGCTGGGGAAAGATGTTGCCGGCAGTGTCCTCTCATTCGCTGGCTACCATCAAGGGACGTCCAACTCTGCCAAAACTTTCTGGGCACTCACTGTGGTATTTCCGAAAAGAGCGGCGAGTGTGTCCATATCTTTAGTCAACGGCGAGCGCACGCGCTATCGTACCTTTGATCGGATTGCCACAAAAACGCTGCCGACTCGTCTGGAAAAAGAAGGAGGGCGCATGGCTTAGGTTAAGTTGCCTTAGATCTGAGGATTCTGAACACTAGTTTTCAGATTTGCATTCGCCACCGGAGCCGTCGTTTCCCGTGTTTACACCCGCTTAGCTTCAGTAAGCTCACGATAATTGAAACACAGATATTTGTACTTCCGGTCAATTCAAAACAGATTTGAAAATTTCAGTTGTGCCGCTATGTTTTGAATGTATTTATAAGCCGCTTAATTCGAACGGCGTTTTCGCTTAATTCATAGTTTTTTGTTCTCGTGGCCCCGTTGAGTGCGCTTCTTTCCGACCACTGGTGCACCGCAGAGAAGCAATACCCGCGAGTTTGCTTTCGTGAGTGTCACTTCTCCGTATTGCGCCGGTGCTCGGAAAGAAGCGCTCTCAACGGGCCTCAAGCGGGCACACATTAGCGGAAAACGGCGTTCACATTATGTGCTTCAAGACTAGCAATGATGACCAAGACGACATCGAGGATGAGGAACAGCTCACTAGCATCCTGCTTTCTGCCCTTGAAGCACATGATGTGAACGCCGAGCTGGCGGAATATGCTAGCCTTGACGCCGATGTGTGTGTGTTTGTCGTGATGACTCATTAGAGGAAATAGTACAAAGTGATGCCAGCACAGTGCAGCAGTGAGAGTGAAGATGACGATGAAGAAAATGGTGACCCACTACCAACTGTCACAGCCCCTGAGGTCTTAGAGCACATCGCTCAGCTCAGGAAGTTTCTGTCTGCAAAGGAAGAGTCCCGTAAAGAGCTACTTGCGTTGGCTGGTATTGAAAAGTTTGTTTTGAGATCTCATGTGCTGACTAAACAATCCACAATCGACAACGTTTTTTCCCGATGAATAAGCTTACCGTTACAGTTCTTTCACCAATATGTGATGCCTGTACTTGCTTATAATTAGGCCTATGTAGAGGAAACTTGGCAAAAATCTCCTTTGTATATGTAACAAATCATAACGTTGTCTAGTATCATATTTAGATGAATTTCTGATCATTCAAACTAAAATCTGTGACTTCCTGGAGTTTGAATTAATGCGAGTTTACTGTATACTGACAGGCAGGCACGTACCCCGGGAGGGGGCCATGAGGCCCGGGCCCCCCCGAAATCTTTCCTTTTGCTGGGGCCTCCTCTCCCCCCCCCCCCCCCCTCTCATACAGCATTTTGTAACGTCAAAATAGGGGGTAGACCTCAAGTCATCTAGCATTGAGGTTTACGCACTATCCTTTCAATCAAAACCAATCAGAGCTCGTCGTCATTCTGACGTCACCGCAACTCCTGCGAAAGAAGCAGACCATCTGCTCTCCGTGCGTCCGTAGACTCAGTCACAGATCATGTTCTTCTTTTTTTTTTTTAATGCTTTAGATTGTCTCATTAACCAACCATTGCTTATTGTATTCAATATCCGTTATAATTCGTGAGTAACCACTTTTTCCTCTGTAATGCTTATGCCCCGAGGATAAATCAAACAAATAAAGTGCCAAATATCTAAGGGGCGTTAGCCGTTCTGGTTTCCTTGCTCCAATGCCACTGAACGCATGTACAAGTTGGTGGGTTATTTACAGGTTGCACTCTTGAAGTAGCAGTTCTATTGCCGTTGATATTCTGGTATGCAACAGGCAACTAACTAGCAAACGCTATAGCTATAGTTGGTGAAAGTCTAAGAATTCGGTAGAAGCCTTCCGCCGGACCTTGGCTGCGCTAGCGCTAGCCTGAGCTACTCTCATTTGTGAGGCAAGTGTCGAGATGGGCTGCTGAAGCAGAGATGGCTCGATGCAGTTCTGAAGGAGTAGATTTGTTATATCGGCACGCCCATCAAAGAACTACGTTACCAGTTAAGGAGATTGAATAATATTTGGTGCGTCAATTTCTATTTTTGTTGCCAGCAGACAAAGAAGGTGGATTTGTGATCATGCCACGGGGCGTTTTTGGAACCAAGGCCGTGTTAGCCATTGACTCGGTTTTTCAGCGTAACACTAGTATCTCATTAACAAAGGTCAAAAGTGAAGCAAAAAAATTATGTAGTGAGCTACAGCTAAAACAATTGTGCTCCTCTATTGAACGCAGTAGGAACCTTAGCTTAGAGCTTTTTTTCAGAGCAAAAACACATAAAGTAGATTGCCAATTAAGGGTGATTGTATCTGATAAAGGTTCGTGGCAGAAGTCTATTGCCTTATTCTTGCAGGAGAAATTAAATCTCTTGCCGGTTCAGGATCCTTTTATGCTAAAACACTCTAGCGAATTGATAAAGTTTCTAACGAACTCTAATGATTGGCATCTCAAGGCCTTCTCAGTGGACATAAAGGACCTCTACTACTCTCCTCCGCAGGATGAGCTGTTGAAGTGTGTGGAGGACTGCATTGACTCTTTTGGTGTTATTGCTTTTCAGACCGCGTCAGGAATTTCCCAAGGTGGTTCCCTTGAATTGCTCACAACATATTTAAGATCTCCGTTTGCGTGTTGGGAGGATAACACCTTTCTCTAAAAAGCAGGGGTATGCATTGGTTCATGCATAGCACCAGTTTTGAGTAACCTTTACCTAGCGCATCGAGACCGGATCCTTTCACGTAGCTTAAATGCTTCTACTGTTCTGAAAATGTTTTGCTTTGTTGATGATTTTTTTGATTGTGCTAGATTGTGCAGCTAATGACTTTCAAATATTGGTCTCTAACGTTCTTTCCTGTTTTAAATCCTGTATAGATCCACTAGAAATCACTCATGAGCTCCCCACAGAAGGTTCCTTGCGGTTCTTGGACCTCGGATTAATTTTTTCGGAGCATCATGTATGTTGGTCATACGAACCGAGAGGCAAGAAACCTCTTCTTAATTTTCAGTTCGCACACTCCAAGCTTGCTAAGCGAGGCATTGTTAAATTATGTCTCACCAATGCGCTTAATAAGTCTTGTATTCATTTACTTAAGGTTAGCTGTGATGCTCAAATTGCCAGGTTAAAGTCAATAGGATATCCTAGTACATTAGTTACAGCCGTGGCAGAGGATTTATTGAAGAAAATAAGATGGGGTGAACGACCTAAACGCAATACAGAAAAGAAAAGGACGGCCGTTGTTCCCTATATACAAAAAGTTTCGCACGGCCTTAAAAAGATAGGAAACCGCATTAACATTAATGTTGCTTTTTCAGCACCAAATAAGCTTCTCAGCCTGTGCAGGAGGGTGAACGGATCGGCACACCCGGAAGTTGGTTGTTCAAAAAAGCACCACAAAAGCTTTGTAAATTGTACTGAAGGAGACATATATTATTCTGTCCCACACTCATGTGGTAGAGAGTATGTAGGCCAGACTGGAAGGTGTTTGAATGATCGTTTAAGAGACATTCACCGAGTCGTAGCTGGACACTTGGGAATCCATCGTCGCGATTGTGGCTGTGTAGCACATTTTGAAAATTGTTCTGCAATAGGTAGGAGTCGAAATGCATTGACAAGAGAAATAATGGAAGCGGAAAGGATAGCACATCTGAAGGACAAGTGTGTAAGTAGTCCTTCTATAGCGCCGTCGACCAAAGAGCTCCAATTTCTATCTAAATGATAGCGATGAGGGTGAGGGACGATTTGTAAAGTGTTTCATTTAGGTATATTTCCCGTTTCTTCATTTTTCTTTTCTTTTACTGTTCTTTTGCCTTGTCTTTAGAATTTTCCTTGTATTTCGTGCTACTTCTTCTACTTATCATGCTGAAAAGTCAACCCAGACATTGAAGAGAAAAATGAAGTAGTCGAATACACAAGAGTTCTAAGTTCAGCGCGTGTGCTTGTCTTCCCGAGTGTCTGGTGCGAGATTGGTTTTCCCTGCGCTGTCACCGTCAAGTACAGGCAGAAAGTTCACACATGAGATAGAACATCTAGAAACGGGAATGTGCTCCTGCATGCAAATGTACGAGTGGGCCTTGTAGAAAATAATTCTTCCGCTTTATTTACAATACTGCCAACAGCCAGTCTCCACCTGCGCGTGGCTTGCAGGTCCACCAGGCCTCGGCATGAAACCGCGACAGTGCCAGTATGTATCACAGAGGTCATCCAGAGCACAGGTATTTGGCACTAACAAGTTTGCTTTCGGATGGCTTGGCATCGTCCGGGAGACCCCGCCACGAGCAGCGGGGCAACGGACCGCCTGGATTTCTTTGTACATCGTTGTGTCTGGAGGATTCCATGTTGCAATTCAGCCTGCTTAGCACTTTTGTTTTTTGAGGGAGGGGGGGTGGACGCAGTCGGGCAACATCTTTTAGATGGCGAGGCCGTAGTACCACCACCTATACTACATTTCACACCAAAGAGTTTTAGGGAACCGCTTTTTGCACATCTGATACGGCACGATGGGCCCTACGGTTCGAACTACGCATGTACCACCACAGAAGACTCATACATGCGCACATCGTACCGGAGGGCCCATCGTACCCTATAGGATGTGCAAACACGGTTCCCTAAAACTCTCCACTAAGCCCGGCCGCAGCCAACGCTACGATCTGTGGGGCTAATCAAGCAGTGCCAAGAGTGCAACGTCACGGCGCTCGTGACGCTGCACAAGGGTAACGAGGCCGTGACGACGCACTTTTGGTGCAACTCAAATGGTCCATCGAATCGTGGAGTCGGATGCGCTCAGACCTGGTGTGAAGCGAAGTATAGAATAATCAAAGTCCCTGCACTCGAATTTTGACGTCATCACATCGAGATCGAGCGCAGACGCAAAATTGGACACGGGCACTGCTTCAGCAAGTGGCCGAACCTCGTGTTCAGTCGTTGCGTCGAAGGATGCTTGGAGTCAGGCTCCATCCTAGTCTGCCGACGTTCCTAGGAGGTAGGGGAGGCTATCCGCAAACTTTGATTGTTCCTGGTGGTGTGGGAGGTATTTGATTTTCCACGTCACCCGTAAGAGGCCGGTGCCAAGTGCGGATGGGCCACGAGTATTGCGTCGGCGTTCGGCCAGGACTCGTGCTCGACCCCAGTCCAACGCTTACGCAGCACTCGTATCAGATCTGCACCCCGCTCTGCCCCCTTCAATTGACAAGGAAAATCCGGCACTACTGCCTTTTGTCTACGGTGTTGAACCAGGACATCGCAGGAAGAGTAGCTCTAGCAACCATGTGCAGTTGGGGTGCAACCATGCCTCTTGGCAATGCCCAGGAGGGTACAAAAACCGCAGTTGCATCTCGCTATTGCGTTAAAACAAAAAAGCTGGAAAATATCACACAAAAAAGATGGCATTCAATGTGTCATTTCTAGTGCACATTTTATAAAGCTATGTTTCACTGTGGTTGCCAGTTTTGTTTGTCCACCGTGGTGAAACTTCCTCTTACAACTAACCAAGGAAATGAAATATCTTGCCCTGAATGCTACGAATTCGCACGAATAGAGCCAGTTGTAGCGCTATCCCTAAACAGAGGGTTAAAGCTGACGTAAAATTTAAGCACGTCTGAAGTTTCATATGCCGAGGAAACGGAATAAGTACTGAACAGAACCGTGACCGCACAAAAAGAAGGCCACCAACTAAGCCTCCAAAAAAACCACAATGTGAAAAAAATAAAAAAAACAAAAAAAGTCATACTTTTTGCAAGGTTATGCACTCCCTGTGTACTATTTTCTCATAAAAATATTAAAACTAACATGACCTTCCTGCACGTCCACACAAGTACAAATAATAGCAGAAAAAGAAAGTGAGACACCAAAGCATAAGTGAAAAAGAGTGGCCACAGTCAATTGAATTTTTTTTTTATCAAATGGCAAGCTGCTTGGGTAGGTGAATCAATAAATTTGAAGGCATCCTAAGGGCAGAGAATGTCGCATCCACTTTTTTTTTTACCGAAGTGATGGATATCAAGGATAGGAGACTAGAAGAATAGGGTAACAGACTAGGAAGCCTAAAGTAAATAAATTTAAATTGACTTCAATTACATAAAATTTTAGCTATATACTTGCATCTGTTTGTCATTCATCCCCTTGTTCCCCTTGCTCTATGGTTGTTTACTATCTTAGATGAATTGGTTAAAGAAATGCCAAGGCAACCTTCCATTGATGGAAAGTGTTCCTATCACATTGTGGCACATGGTCTTCACATTTATGCCAAATAGTAGTATAGCTTTAAAATATGCTTGTTTCTCCAAAAATTTTACTATATTTTACCATAGGATTTTCGTATTGGAAATACGATTTAAGCCCACAAAGGTGCACAATCTAAGGACACATTGCTCTGTGCAACCAACAATGTATAATTAGGGCCTTACCAAGGCAAAAACTTCCACATTACAAAATCAGGGTCAAGATCTTGGTCATTTCGAAAAATGCCATTGGTATCCATTACAATGCCTAAATAGCCCAATCCAAGGACTGATGTAACACAATGAAGCCATATCCAGCTGCTGATGCAAAGCCCTTCGCGACGTGGGTGCAGTCCTACCTTTGAATTGTGATTACGTGATTGCCTCAACCTTTTTTTTTGATACCCTACCCATTGCAGGATTAAATTTTGTTCAAGAGCCCTGGAACAAGACCCCTCCTTCTTACATTTCGCCTTCTTTGTGCAAGTGCTTGCAAAAACAAAGCACCTTGCAGAGCTCCTATATCGTGCCAGAGCTTTTGGTAGACCTACATACAACTGGTAAGCTGAAGTGCAGGGGTGTGGCAGAATTTAGAATTACGTATTCATAGGCTGCAACTCGTAAGAATGCAGACGAAATCCTCTACGTACACTTTTAAAGTGTCCTGTGGAAGCGCTTCCACCTCTCAAAAGCAAGAATCCTGCATAATTTCTGATTACAGTAAGCAGGTCAGGCTCCCCTCCTGCCGTTGCAATCACTGACTAAATAAAAAAAAAAAACACAGGGCATCTCTTTTGGATGCCTAGTCTTTAGCACGTGCACACTGCCTTCCGTTGTGCATTGGCTGCGCATGAATGCTTGCAGCACATAAGATGCTGAGGAGTTATTAAAGGCAGGAAGTCTGCACTGGAGGTTGGAAAACTGAAGGGCCTCCTTTGTTTTATTCTGTAAGTGACCATAGTTGTTTGATTTAAAAGAAAAAAAAAGTAAATGAATAAAGAAGGCACTGTAGTGAAGAGGCACCACTCAAGGCCCAATGAGAGAAGAGACGACAACATGTGCTAGTCGTTGTCATAGTTACATCGAGCATTTGTTAAGCAATATCAGAATTTTTCTGCAAGGTGGGATTCAGAGGGGGGTCATCAAAGTTTTTAAAGATAAAAATATCAAGATTTCGGGTTCAGCTAGCTTACATAAAACACAATCTAGATTTTTTTTTTTTTTTAAAGCAGTTTGAATCTGTAATGATACAAGTAAAAAAAACAAGTTCAAATAGGTTCCATGAAGTTCAAAGCTTGTTACGCAATACAAATTCTTTGGCATCTATAAAAAAACATTGTAGGAGTGGTTTGTGCATACTTAGTGGGAAAGGTAAGAAAGCTCCTTCAATGGAAAGGCTCCAACATGTCGATGTGTAAGCTTGAGTTGGAAAGGGCCTTTCTTAGAGAGGGTTACACTTGGAAAAGTTCCCACAGTTCTGAGTAACAGCGGTGATGTGTCCATAAGATTGGATAATCTCAGCAAATATGGCCAAAACTGAGTGTGCATTTCAAAAGGTGTCATGTTGAAGCTCTAACTTGTTAGGAAGGATGCAAAGTAGTCACATATCTGAGACCATTTGCTGCCAGTTACTTAAACTATAAAACAAGGTTGAACACCTATAGTTTCAAAATTCAGAATTACGGCCAAACATTTAGTTATGTACAACTATTCAGCATCCTTTAGCCTACCTCATATGAAGAGGGTTTCTAAAACCTCCATGAACATATATGAAGCTTATGAAATAGTATCTGGTGGCAAAGTATCATACTTGTACTTGCTCCCAGCTGCATAGCCCAGTGTCCTCAGCCTTTAATACAGAATGTGCCACAAGGTATCAATAAAAACTATGTTGAATTTGCGAGGTACGAGTTGATAAACTTCATGTTTGTTATTGCACTCCGGAAAGGACATAGAGAGGGAGGTACATCAAGAAAAGCGCTGCTGTGACTCCAGCTATTCTGAAATTCTTTTAGATATGTGGAGTTTACTTTAGAAAGATTGCAAATAAGCGAAAAATTCCGTAAGATCTTACGGAAAAAATGGCTGGTGCAACTGTTTCCTAGAACAGCACAAATGTTGTGCAGATGCATCACTATGCGGCAGACGTGCTTCAGTTCAGCATGTTCAACTTTTCCTGCTAAACTGGTCCAACAAAGTAACTTGTAGCATTAAAGCTCTGCCAGCCAAGAATATTCCTCGACACACTATGCAATCATTTACTATTTTTGCAATTATAGCTTTTTAGCAGTACGGGCTTAAAAACCAAAAGCAATCACTTCACAATATGTCTTTGAAAAACTGGCTCTAATAGTGTCCGAGATGTTGCGAAATTATTGATAGAAATAAAGTTTAGACTGGCCAAACCGTCGCACCAACAAGTGTGCACAAAACAGACACATGGTTGCTAGGTCTCTTTCACCCACAAAAACCTGCTGCCAAATGTCCGCATCTAATCCGAAAAACAAACAAAAAAAATCCCTATTGCATGAACTACAGGTACAGGCTACACATTCGTATTCAGTTTGCTTGTTCAAATCCGGCCAACGCCCCGAAATAGCACACGCTGCTCTCGAATGCAAAAAAAAGCAAAAACTCCTTCATTACACCCTAAGTAGAAAAACGAAATGAGAAAAAACTTCAAAAGTCCTTCTTCGAAGCTTGCGTTAGGGGCCAACAAATGCCGTCCGAAAATTTGATTCTGCCTTGGAGCGAAACCACACCCCAGAGTCCCATCTTCTCTCACACTCACACTCTCGACCCTAAGAGTCGAGATAACTTGGGCAGCCGTCACTCCCCTCAAGAAAGCTTGTCATGACACTTACACAGAAACAACCCCGCTCGGATCATTGCCTTCGTGATCAGGCTTCGACCAAACTTCTTCATCTTCCTCCGACGCCTCTGCAGTGCAGCGGGGGCTTTGTCGGGAAGGGTGCTCTCGTAACGTACAGTAAAAAAAATGACACACAAAAAGCATCCATTCTTGTTCTCAACACTTGGAATGGGGACACACACTCGGGTTTCAATAGAAAAAAAAGCAAACAAGAAGAAAGAAAAAAATGGTGGATAAAAACGAGTTATAATATAAATGTCCTAGGTACTTAGAAATACGTGCGGAGTCCGAAAAAAAACCACTTTTGCCGGGTGCGACGACCCAGAAGTGGAAGCGCCGGCGGAGCCTTTCTTTAAGCGACCCCAAAATGCACGTCGGGTTCACGTTACATAGGCACGGTGCTGGAAGACTATTTCCGAGTTGACGCGCGGTTCCACCGTTGGCGAATTTGTCGAACGACGCGTCACTCACCACTCGTCTATGTCGCGGCACAGGCTCAGAGAACTGGGCTTCTCGAAGACTGGAACGCAGAGTTTGGATGATCGAGGGAGCAACTCGCCTGCGTCGTTTAGTCACTAGAAACATAGTGCTCGTTGGGTGGACAACGACTGGGCAACTCTTGCGGAATGTAGGTGTCCTTGCGAGGTCTCATTCGATGCTCTCCCATTGACCTGTTCGAGCTGCAGGCAAGCAAACGAAGGCATAGTCGACAGGTCCAAATATGTTAAGGTTTCCTGCTGTTCTACGTTGCCCTCGCGGAGATTTTTGGGAAAAAGACACTGCACCCTAAGTGTAGAGAAAGGATGTGCACGTTGTAAAGCAAAAACACCCTCACCTCAGCCTCCCCCCCACGCCCGACTCATCTTTAGTTACCGTATGAGACATGCTTCTCTTTCAAGTTCAACACCTCAAAATACAGGTACACTTCGTACTTAAGTCAAAATTTGTCTTGCAACATAGATATTGCGCTTAAATGTTTTGGGGGAGCGGGGAAAGTTTATTTTGCGACGTACGTTTCCTATCTCGACACTTAAGAAAAAAATTCAGGAGCAGTTTAGAGTCCTTTCAAGAGCCAATGTGCCCGCGAGACACGATTCCACGACTGCACACCGACACCACTCCATTTCACACCACACTCTCGCCAGGATCCATCCCCTCCTCGCAGATCAGCTTGGAATGCTGTCCGGGCCGACGTCGCTCAGACGTCGGCGCGGCTTCGTAATCGGACGGCTCCCAGTTGCGCGACGCGGGACGCTCCTCTGTAGCTCCGGCGCGGAGCAGACCGCCGAACACTTTCTTCAGTCGCTCTCTCGCCGGGGGCCGCGACGACGCGATCTCGTCGCACGATCGCCAGCGCTTGGTGGCATCTTCGGCGAGAACCCCGAGGCGTCCTTCCGCCGCTCCACCGTTGCAGTTGGTGCTGTCCGTCGGATCTCTCGTCAGCAGCGGCCTCACGCTCTCGTCGAGGCTCTTCAGCCCGTTCTTGTTCCGGTCAGCCCAGTTCCGAGCGCCCCTTCCGGCTGCGATGTCCGGGTTCGAACATCCAAAGTCTGACGAGCAGCCCTTGCGGATCGCCTCCGACCGTCGTGGAGGGAGGAGCGATGACGATGGCGGCAGCTGGAGCGAGATTCCAACGTCGAGGTCCACGATGCTGTTGGCGCGTGACGACGACGCGTCAGCAAGGTCGGGCCGGTGATAGCTCCGCTGAGAGAAGGACGACTCGCGAGAGGGCGGATGCTTGTGTCGGATCACCGGGCTCTCTTGCTTCCGGCGGTGGAGAGCCTGAATGTGTGGAGGAAAATTTTGCCTAAGTACGACAACGTCCTCTATTCATAAGTTGTCTCCAGGTATCATTGCATTTTCAATGCTAGTTATAGTGAAATACCACTTCAAAAAACTTTAAGAAAAAGTTTGCTTGAGGTAAAATCCCGTAAATGCCCGCACTAAATGAGATAAATGCTGAAAAGCATGGGGCAGGCTATCTTTGGGCATGCGACAGAAAAACTTGATAAATAATGAAGGAGAAACACCTGGGCCATCACTACAAACCACGTGAGGTGGGAACTGATAGCGCGGTTAATGCGATTCCTGTCGGACATCGCGTGATGTCCGACGGCAATGTTTCAAAATTTTTATGTTACGGATACTTAGCCAGAAAAACGCAATGGGCGATCTCTCAGGGAAGGGTTTCCTTATGGGATTTTAGGCTGAGTGAAAGTTCACTCAACTCAAGGCGTTGCACAGAATGAAGTTTTGCTGGGGAGTTTTACGGAAGTCTGTTCATCTGGATAGCTTCTTCAACTGGAGTTTCTTCAAAGGGCATTTCACTGTCGGCCCCCTTTCCCTCAAGCAATACACTGGTCCTCCCAAACACAGTAGAGCTTAAAGGGAAGCTATGGAGCTTCTTGGAAAAATTGAGTTAGAAGTGAATTCTAGTGTATTTTTACCCCATGAACTCGAATACCCAAACCATTTGCTGTGCAAGTATTGTTAAACGCGAGAAAAACGCGAAAGACAGTCGCTGTCCGTGACGTCATCGACGGCTCTTTTGGCTGCCCAAGGCTAGGGGGGCGCGCCCAGTTGAAAATTCCCATTAGATTCCAATTGGAATTTCCAATTGGTACCAGCTAGGTTTTGGGACAACCAATTGGTCACTGCAATGGGAACCAATTGGAACCCATTAAAATTCCAACTGGAAAATTTTTTCCAATTGGTGAGACCCATTGGCCAGTGTGCTTCCAATTGGAACCCACTAAAACCAATTGGTTCCAATTAAAACCAGTTAGAATTCCAATTGGATCTAATTGGAATTTTCAGCTGGGAGGGGCTTCAGCCCTATATTGAAATTGCTGTTGTGGCTCTCCGGTGCGTCGCATTGAAATATAATTTTGATATCTGTTATTTTAAAGGCCAAATGAACGCAATTCAAGCGTTTTTTCTCAAATGTAGAAGTGCCCCATCTTCCCTTTAATATAATCTGAGTTTATTCTTCTTCAAATTCAGAGCTAATTAGGGTTAATTTTTATTCACATATCCAATAATTTCCAGTGTCGATTTTCTGTGACAAAAAATTGCCATTTCTCGGTGATGATGTAAAAAAAGAGTGGTCCAAGTTGCTAAATTACCCAACCTATGAAATTGTGCACATGAACCTATTATGTACTTAGAAACCATCCTGGTACTGACAAGGTAACAGGAGGACCCAAAGAAGAAAGCCCTCGTAGTGGGTCAACAGAAAATAAAGCCACACAAAAAGATCTCTCCCCATGAAGCTCTCTTACTCAAGGATCACTCCAATTTAAGGTTTCCAGTGCACCCCTGATTTTGATAATTTTGATAAAACTGGCTCTGGGGTTTCTTTTCCAGGTTTATCGATATGACGTGAAACCCCGATTACATGACTTTCAGGCGTTATAGCACAGAAACATTGTGAGTCGCGAGTCGTATCATCCAAAAAACCCAAGAAACATGAATGCTTCACAACTTCGATGCTTGGCCCCCCAGAAAAAAAAAAATATGTGGAGCTTCTAAAATTATTTTGAAGCTGATAATCTGCTAGGCTATGAAAGAAAAAAGCCCTAACAAATACACAACGAAATCAAAGCATCAGGCGCTGAAGGCACTGATGAGATTTCCCTTTCACTACCTCATTTTCAAAAAGTGACTTTCCTTGCGGGCCACAACTTTTTGAAGCAAGTAAGCAACTATTGTGTGCCGTCAAAACTTGATATTTCTGCATATGTTGGCACACGCATGCAGACGTCCAAAGTACAATTGGCATTGTGTAGTTCCCCTAATGACAACTTCAACGAGTGACACTGTATTGCGAATGGCGATGTTGTCGTCAGTGTTCGACAATATCCATAAGTCGCAACGGGTCCACATGGTCATAGGGATGTATAGTTTTTCAAGACCACGTGAAAATCATAAACAGAGAACGCACAAAGACTTGACACCTTTTTTGCTTTCCGAAAGCACAGCACAAGCCCACGCGTGCAACCGCACGGCTCGATGGATCACAGTCCAACAGCACATTGTCAAAGAAAGAAATTAAAACAAAAGGGAGGCACACAAAAGCAAAACAGTAAGGGTGGTGGTGAAGGGGACTGAATGAAGGACGGTCTTCCAGGGGGAAGGAGAAATACATGTTTGCCAGCGCAGTTTCGTTTTCACGCCTCGTCCGTTTTCGTCCGCGACACGACGCACCAGGATCGTTGTACGACGCGGGACTCGCGTATGCGCAAGTCGTGAATTCCGAACTTCTAATACAAGCATTATTTCTATGGGGAGTTTGCTGGGACAGTGCCAAATCGTCGTAAAATGTGCGGCTTTGCGTAAACAAGGGGTACCTAATCGGGGCTCCACCGCATATGCCGTAAATATGAAACCCGTGTTATGAGGGCTTACGGCGAGTTTCGACCGCGAATCACTGAGACGTCCGTACTTCGCAGAGGAGTAAGCAATTCAAGGAGTAGCTTTGCAGGTAACATACGACGCAAAAATGGTCTGGCAACTTGCAGTCATGACACAGCGTAACCCGAGAAAGGGCAGTCAAATGCTACACCGTGAAAGGGCCTTGAATCGGCCTTTACAAAAAGAAACGAAGTCTAAAACCAAATTTGGGGTTTTTTTCGTGCCGAACCAACAAAAGCCATATGGCAGGCTCCGGCGGAGGACCGAGGATTAATTTCGACCAGCCGGGAACCTTTTGTACGTGCAGCCGAAATTTCGACCGCAAGGCACCGGCCATCTCCACAAAAATTCACAGGGTCTCTTATGATATCCCCAAGACGACTTGAAGGCGAAAGCCCAAGCGCCGATGCATTGAAGACAGACACATGATTTACAGATATGGCAGTACCCCTCCACCGTGGCGGGGGTACTGCTTCGGACTACTGAACAAAAGGTCGTTGGTTCGACGCCAGCCAAGGGGCAAGGGCAAAACGTCTTTTCGGAGGAATATTAATATTCGCAGTTGTCACGTAAACGCTTTGATACCTTTTCTCTTGTCGATTTTCATTCCTTTCGTGTCGCCGACTTGTTTTTGCTCAAGAACTGAACCATGAGACATATAAGACTTTCGCCTTAACAAGCCCCCTTCCAATTGTGGGCAGCTTGGCCGGGATTCGAACGCGCCACCTGGATACTCGTAGGTCAACGCTTCACCTAAAAGCCACCGAAACGACCGAGACACAAGGATGAAGGCATACCTGTATGTTACCCATGACGGATCCGTTCATGAGTCCGGCACCCACGAGCAGAGCGTCCGTGTCGCAGTCTGGCAGCTTGGGGATAAGCGAACCTCGCCGGGGCAGCGCGGAGGACGCTTCCGGCTTGGGGCTCCGATGCTGCTGCTGCTGGGGGGCCGCCGAGGTGTTGTTGTTGTTGGCGCATGCCGTGTCGGCCACGCTGAAGAGCGGCTGCGGCAGCGGCTGGGTGGGCGCCCGCCGGTGCTGCGGCCCCAGCGTGTGGTCCGTCAGCCAGTAGGTGCGCAGCTCGCCCTTACCCTGCGCAGCGTGCAAAGATCGGGGCAGTGTAGCAATCGGCCGACAGCTCCCCTTAAATCGCTAGGAAAAATGAAGGTGCGCTCCTTTTATCTACCGCGCAAACGTAACATATGCGGAATACATTTGCGATATACATGCAAATCTGGACTGTGGGACGTAGAGTCATGTGACTTCATGGTCTGAAGTTGTGGTGTCAAAAACATAAACAGATGTAGGCAAGGTAACTGTTAAGCTGTGGTGCAACGTGACGTCCCATGAATCAATGTTTTGCAGCGTGGTCGAGTGATCACCTAACAAAAGTGCACAGACAGCCACGATCAGAACTTGTCCCATTTTTTCTGATTTCGGAAGATGGTCGTATGGTGCCACCTACCAAGAGAGTAATCCGAGTGTAACCAACTTCCACCACCTTTAGTAAGCGTACCACTGATTGATCCAGTTAAAAAGATTAACAATCACCTTCGCTAGTATCATGCCAGAACAATAATTTTTTTTCACCAAATTCCATTCTTCTAACTTTTACTGTTCACTTACTGTGTGAATTTTCATGCCCTACCCCTCTCTACTTGCCTCTGGGCCCTAAGGATAGTGCCTGACTGAATGATATTATTAAATAAACAAATAAATCAATAAATGGCTCGATGCAGGCAGTACCTTCATCTTGACAAGTCCTCTGTCGATGATCTCGTAGCCGCCGATCTTAGTCAGCAGATCTCTGCACTGGCTACTGATGTGGATCTTGAGTGCTGCACCAGCCAATGCAATCCAAGTCAGGTCACTCGACAAACAGACAACATCCCTCCAACATTTGTGAAGCTCTAAGCCCTCTTTAAAAGGGCTTAAAATCCCCCAACTATCGCAACTTACGCGTCATCATAGCACATGACCGAACGTTGCCATGTGGGAAAAGGCGGCTGTGTTTCTGTGACGCTTCACTGCAGTCTACATTGAAATGCGAGGGCATTTTTATGTTTCTTCCACGGAGGCCCTAATCTTCCAATCAAATTGAGATGGATTTTGCTACCCCACTCAGCCCTCGGTCATAGCAGAATGAGCCCACTTTGCTTCTCTGCCCCTAGACAAACGCTACTCTCTCTTTTCCGGCGTCTCATTGGCATGACGAATACGCCGAGTCTATGTGGGCCATTGCTCCTGTTCAGCGATGTCCACATCAGTTCGCTCCTTTCACTTGCGAGGCACTGTGAAGTCGACTGGAACACTACCAGCAGGCATATGACTTCTATCATAGATCCCTTCCGATAGTGTGCCCCCTGTTGGAAGCTGGGCAGTCCCTGGACTATGGAGGAAACAAGTGTGAGCTTCTTGCGTTCCATTTTGTTTCAGTGCTTTTGAGCCCTCAAGCAGCGGGAGCAAAAGCTGAAGCTACCCGCTCATGCCACTAGCACATTTTGCAGTGTCGATTAGCAAAAGAAATCTTATCGCATTTATTAACCACCGCCTCACCAGTTTCCCCCTTGGCATACTAGTAGTTAAGCGTCAGGCTCACAATATTGAGATCCTCAGTTCAACACCCTGTGAAGCATGTTTGGAATTTTATTCTCCAATTTATCCACTTCTCAGTCTCCCGCACGTGCACATTCATTCAGTGTTACAAATTCGAATTTTCAGTGAAGGGCTACCGCAAGAAATGCTGTCGGAACTTAAGAAACCGCCAATGAGACGCGAGTATTTCCTTCCATGGCAGGGTTCGGTCCTACTAAGTAGTGGTTTGGTAAAAAAACCAGGCAATACTTCGGAGGCAGTAACTTTACCATGGAGAAGGAAAACATTTTTACAATCAAAAACGAAACAATAGATAGTGCACCTTCTCCATTGGATTCCATCCGCGATGCAGTGTTCACGGTATCCCCGAAGAGACAGTACCGCGGCATTGTCTGGCCAACAACCCCCGCCACGACTGGACCTAAGGAGGACAGAAAACCCGAGTTAAGACTCCTGTCATGTCGTTTCAAACAAAAGTTGGCTGCAGATGACAAACATAAAAAAAAAGACTAAACTTAAAATAAAATTTGAGGAAACTGGAAAAAACTCTTTGGAGAACATCACATCTGATTTTGATGCAATGCAGCCAATAAATAAAACTGCCCGTCTCTTAGGTATATCCCAAAGGAACTCGAAATGCGTAGCATTTAAAGGTCCTCTTTGTCTCGCTGTGTCCATTCTTCTCGCTGTGTTGCTGCTTCTCTGGCACATCCGGTGACGCCATGACATGACATTTGTGACATCATGGTGTCATGTGAGGTCATGTGTCATGTGAGGTCATTGTGTCACATGAGGTCAGTGTGTCACATAAGGTAAATAATAATAATAATAATAATCTTTATTTCCATTTAAAAAAATGGTGGAGCAAAAGGGAAAAAGCTTCAACAAGAAGCTTGACTGGCCCTCAGCCCCATCGGCAGCCAGTGAACAAACAATTTTCGTGCAATAAAAAAAAAAAAAAAAAAATCACTGTATTAAGTGAGGTAACTGTGTGACATGAGCTAGGTCACTGTGTCATGTGAGGTCACTGCGTCATGTGACATGACGTCACAATGTCACATTATGATAGCGCAAAACTTCAGTGTATATGCATCATTACGCAACTTGATCATGTGAAGATTTCAGGTCACATCACGAGGCATCACACTATCACATGACACTGTGCGACTTGATGGTACTTAGTCTACCTTCTCTATCAAGGCTACATCACAGCACAGACATGAAAATGCTAAGAATTAGGCCCTATAAAAGTCAGTTCATCCATGCAGCGGTGCAGCGAGATGGCGCAGTCAGAGCTGCATGAGTGCTAGTGTCAGTGCTGACTCAGCACCGAGTTAGCACCGCATTGTGTAAACAGGAAAAGGGCCGAGTCAGGTGGAGCGGCGCGCCATTATTGTTCAAAGCCACCGCCGTGTCAGCACCTAGTGCTGCGCTGTAACTGTAAACAACCCTCAAAAGCTATGCAATTAAATAAACATTAGGAGAAACTACCTTCTTTTCTTGAAGAATCGGAGTGTGCTGGTAAGTTACAGGGATAACAGGAAAGCGACATAAAGGACAAAGGCAGAGAGTTTATTGTCCCGCCTTCGTCCTTTATATTACTTTCCTTTTATCCCTGTACCTCTTTTTTTTTTGTTTTCATTTACGCTAGCTAGCAGAGGCTCATGTGCACAGTTCTCTACCTATCTTCCTAGCCTTGCAAGCCACCCAGAGTAGCTCAACCTATGTGCTACTAAGTATCTTCTTTTTATTTTTAATACGGAATGTATTTATGAGCTGGATTTCATAGAGAAGCTTCTAGAGGCCCGTTCACACACTGGCACTCGACTCCAACTGACTGAGACAAGACCGGTTTTTAAAAATTTCGCGATGGCTTACGACCAGCTGCATTGCTGCGCATCCGATCGTGACCCGTCCTAACAGGCTTAAAAACCACTCTTGCCTCAGTCGGTCGGAGTCAAACGCAAGTGCGTGAATGGGAATTAATCTGTTCCTCATTGTTTTTTTTAATGAAAACAATAATGTTTCACAAATTGGTGTACTGCTGTTTAAACACCATAAGCAGCTGTGCAGTACTGCACTTGGCTCGTGATCCCCGAAAGTGTGGAAGAGAAAACCGCCACGTTCGCTCACTCCGATTATCGTCTCTTTAAACACAAGTGTGTGAACGGGCCTCAACGCTCGAGTGTGATAGAAAAGCATTACACGCAGGCCAAGGTAACATAAAGGGTGCATAGCCCGTAGCAGGCAATACACAATGTTCCAAAGAATGTAGAAAGCACAATCAGTCGTCATAATTCATACATAATCATAACCACAAACAATTTGAAACCAGAGAGACTCGCCAAGGAGTTCAGTAGGAATCGAACTCCGCAGTTCAACATTTTTGCTCGGCGCTACGAGTAGGAGATGATTGAGGGCACAAGCAACTGGAATAAGTACATATGACTTGCTGCGGACGGTCGCCTGCAGTAGCACATGACTGTCCACGTTCACTGATACTTAGTCCAGCATAGTTGGTTCGGCATTCTTAGTCTGCAAGCTACCGCTGGCGGCAAGTCATACTCAGTCCAGGGCCCTTAGTGAGCAGAAGACAGCCGGCAGCGAACCATAGTTAGTCCAGCACACTTAGTCTATGGGCGACCGTCGGCAGCAAGTCATATATATTCAGCAGGTGAACATTGCTGGTGATTCATACTTAGTACAACGGAGCATAGCTAATCATAACGCACACATAATACATGCCTGACACATTCTGGGGTTTCCGGGTTTAACAAAATGATCAAGGCAAGGTTAAATTTTTTATTATTTCTACGTATGATTAAATTACTATTATCATTATTATAGTTGTTGTTAAGGCATGCACCAGAACTGACCGGTGTGGATGCCGATGCGCAGCTTGAGCGTGGTGCCCGGCCGGTGGCGTATCTCGAAGTGCTTGACCGCGTCCAGGATCTCCAGGGCCATGGAGGCAATCTCCTGGGCGTGGGCATCCCCGTTGCGGATGGGCAGCCCGCTCACCACCATGTAGGCGTCCCCAATGGTCTCCACCTTGTACACGTCGTAGTGGCGGATGATAGAATCGAAGCAGGTGTAAAGGTCGTTCAGGAAGGTCACCACCTGCCACACAAACAACAATCAACCAATTAATAAGTCTATACAAATCATTCGGGAATGTCATCACCTGCCACGCAAACAATGACCAATCAATTGGTCAACCAATCAAAGCAGGTATACAGGTTTTTCAGGAAGGTCACCACCTGTCACACAGACGAGGCAACAACCAATAAATCAATCAGTCAAAGCAGGTGTAAAGGTCCTTTAGGAAGTTCCCGACCTGTCACAGAGACATTGCAACAACTAATCAATAAGTCAGTCGAAGTAGGTACACAGGTCGTTCAGGAAGGTAACCACCTCCCACACGGACATAAAAGAATCAGTCACCAATCAATCAATCAGTCAAAGCAGGTGCCCAGGACATTCAGGAAGGTTACCACCTTCCACACAGATATCACGCAATCAATCACCAATCAATCAGTCAGCCAAAGCAGATGTGCAAGTCATTCAGGAAGGTCACCACCTGCCACACAGACGTCACAACAACCAATCAATCAATTGGCTGAAGCAGGAGTACATATAATTTCAGAAAGGCCACCACCACCTGTCAAAGCCATATTGCAACAACAAATCAATAAATAAATAAGTCAAGTCCCCATTTGTGCACCCACATCACCTTAATCAGCATCATCATGATAAATCCATAAGGTCCCACTTGCCCCCCCATGTACTATTTTATTACCATCCCCACTCCCATCATAATAAAGTAATAATAATAAATAAATCTTGGTCACTACCTACCAAACATTTCCTATATAAATACATGCACTGGTTCACCACCATATATCCTTGCCATTATCACTGTCATTTTAATCAATCAATGAAAATCACCACCTGCCAGACATTACTCATCCATGCAGTGGTTCATCCCCATCATCATAATAGATCAATGGAGGCGCCACCACCTGCCACAAACATTCCCCATCCATGCACTGCTCATCACCATCGTCAGCCTCCTCATCATCATAAATAAATTAAGATCACCATCTGCTAAAACATCCCCCATCATGTAGTCCAGGGGTTCTCAAACTGCAGGGTTCCGGGGAACATAGGGGTTCCACGAGCTGGTCTCATGGGTTCCGCGAGCACTCAAATTGCAACCCCCCCCCCCACGCCGCAGGCTGCACGGAAGGACCATGCAAAGTGCCTTTATCTCACTTTGTACTGACATTGTGATTGACATGGTGGGGATATATGGGAAGCAACACAAGCAAAATTGCCTACAATTGTGCATCTGTTGCTTCTCGGTCGGCAAATATGGAGTGGGCGGGGGGGGGGAAGGGGGGGGGGGGGGGGGGGGGGGGGGGGGGTCCGCGGCAGTTTGTGAGGCTTCCTGGGGTTCCGTGAGACCAAAAAGTTTGAGAACCCCTGCACTAGTCTATCACCATAATCCCATCACCATCATAACATTATCATCATCGTCATTATCACATCATATCATCAAATCGCAAATCACAAACATATCCCCATTTGTGAAAATGAATGGAAATTTGAGATCACTAAGGGCAGGTACCGATTTTTGCAGTCAATTTCAGAGCGAGCCTCGGTATTGATAAGGTTCTGCATAGGCCAGCACGCCTTCCATCTTGGAGTCTAGGATGGTCACTGACCTGGAGTGGTGTGCTGGAGGCTGACATCTCGGTGAAGCCCACAATGTCACTGAAGTAAATGGTGACAAAGTCGAAGGATTCCGGCACCACCAGCTCACCCCTCATCAATTGACTAGCTACAGACCTGCAAGTGCCAAAACACGTTGCATCAGCCCTCCATTCACTCACTCTTTCACCCGTTTCACGTCCACCCGTTGCACAAAAAAAGGAACCATTCATGACTAATTGAAGATTATGCAGGGTCATCACTGAGCAATGGAAATGAAAGAGGCTCAGAACAGCTTAAAAAGTAATTGCATTGCGTGTATGTTTAAACAGCGACAAGTCAGTCTTAGCTGCAGATGAGAAATTTCGTCAGTGCAGTATCCCCGCTAGTCTGGGGTCTTTAAAGGGATTAGGAACAAAAATTGAAGGGGTAGATTAGTCTTGAAATGAAGTGCTCATTGGTCACTTAGCATATACACCAGGTTTCATGATTGTTAGAGCCCTATGTAATTGCAGTAAATAATTTACAAATGTTGATCATTCTCATCTGGCGACCATGGCAAGACTGAAGATGTTAGTCACATAATAGGGCCCACAAACCATAAAAGGGTTGATAACTGGGCTAGTTGGTAGTTAGACATATTAACGGCATTAGCGCACACGTATGAGGAAGAGAGAAGCGCTCTTTTCTGTCCCTTCTTTCTTCCTCATACGTGTGCGCTAATGCCGTTAATATGCCCACAAACCAGATGATCTCGACATGCAGCTGAACGCTCTCTTTCTAAGCGCCCCACCATGCTCACCATGCTACAATCGCACCCTCTCACACTGCTCGGTTATTCCAACGCTACTCGACTACTCTTGCTCTCACCCCCTTGCCCTTTGATCTTCCACCTGGCGTGCATGTGCACTGGCTGGATCACTATAAAACCTTGGGCTCGACGGTTTCCTCTCCAATCACACGCGTTGGGTTTCAAAGAAGGCTTGCGTGGCTCTCAACTCTAAAGCAGCTCCCAATTTTTTACAAAGTTTGTTGTGTGGTGGCATATTTGAATGTACAGGGCCACTGGTTTTCTCGTTGTGGTTGTCGAAAAATCCTATGCAACGAAAAGAGCGGAAACTTAAAGTTGCACGCAATGAATGGGCTTCGTCAGACGCGATGGTTTTGTGCGCTAATTATTTGACGGCCGAGTACTCTTCCATGCGAGACCGTCGCAAACGAAGGTGAGTTTGTCTGCAATGATTTCGCCAGTGGGTCGAAGTCAACATGACCAGCTTCCAACATCTCTCGATGACGACCACTCTCATCGCTGCTGCGATCAGTGTCGAAGACACCAACGAAGCGAGTGAGGCCATAGACGTCTCCATCTCGAAACTACATGTTCGAAACGCGAAAGGTAAACGAGGAAACTCCGGTAGGTAAATGAGGAAGCACTTGCAACCGAGTAGGACGGAGAGAGGCAAGACAGGTTTTTAAGCCTCATGCGACGTCTTAGGACCGGATGCGCTGCTGCGGAGCAGGTCTTATGCCGTCGCAAGAGGCTTAAAAACCGGTCTTGTCTCTCCTGGTCCTGCTCGCTTGCATGTGAAAGGTGCTTTACTAAACAAATTTAGCAAAAATATAGGAACATACAATGGGTTTTAACAGCATAGTCATCTCATATTTTAGTTTTTGAAGTATCCTAACCCCTTTAATGTACGTACACCAAGCAGTAGTAATACACAACCACAGATCGGTACAATGCTCATCGAGATCAAAATGGGCATCTGGGTCAGGGCCGGATTAAGGTACGGGCTAAGGGGGCTGCAGCCCTGGGCCCCAGGCTGTCGGGGGCCCCACGCTGGCCCCTGAAAATTTAAAAATGTTAATCATTCTTTTTTTTTTTTAAAGGAGGTTTAGGCAAAAAGCAGAAGATACAATCCGAAGGGCCTCTGGCGCAATGGCCTTCTCGTTCTCTTTTCCTCAACAAAGAAGCAAGGATGTCATAAAGTTCCCGTCTCTAGGTCAGCTGGCGTTTGTGAGCTCGTTGTGCAAGAGCGTGCCAGAACAAAAATTTAACATGGCCTCCCATGCCCCTTGTTAGATTTTTTTTTTTAAATTGGAGCTTGATGGAAGGACGGTTATTATGGAGCTTTCTTTTGTACTGGGGCCTCCTTAGCGTGTTTTACAAACAATTGTGGGTAGGAAGTTAAGCAAGCGTTAAGCAAGCAATGCAGATGGTTCACACATGTTGTTTTTAACCTTTTCGCGAAACTCCATATGGAGTTTATTCCAGAAGGATAAGTTTGGAACAAGCGAAAAGGTGCCGATAAATCTTCCGGATACCGTCTCTATAGCCACCAACAAAGAGGCGTTTCAAGGAGCTGGCATTTAAGACGCCCCTCAACAGTTTTCGATGGGTACTGACTGCAAGGAAGTGCTCTAGATTCGATATCTGGCCTGCCAGTGCAACTGAACACTCTTACTCCCAGCGAATGATACGAATACTGCAATGGTTTCACGAACCTCTGAGGTATAACCTTTTATTTTTTAACGTTGAGTCACAGAACAAAAATGGCCACCGAGGTCTAAATTACTGCATTTAAAAAGAACAAAATTAGTACTAAATCTGATGCAAAACATTTTACCCATTCAAAAAGACAGCGTGTAGATACAAAAAGAAAAGATGTTCTCGATTCTCATGATAAATTCTTTAAATGCAAATGTGCCCGAACGACAGCGGTCGATGTCTTAGAATCGCACGCAGTTTCTCCTATGCTTTAAATGCGGAAGTCTGTGTTTGTTCACGAAACGAGAGTTCAGTTATTAGAAAAGCATTTACGAAGTAGTTTGATCCTGATAAAGACTGCTTCAACCGACGAAATTTCTTTCTTGCCTATGTCACTTCCTTCACTGTTCACACCAGTAACTAATTAAAAGAGGGCTAGTTAGAAGTTAAAACACTTCCAATAATTTGGAACAATGACAAGAATAAAGACTCTAGATTTTCGTGGCAGTTGTCGAATTGCGAGGTATGCCGTTTAGGGGAAGCGAAATTAGAATGGGAATATTGCAGGTACCTTTTCGGTTGCTGCATAACTCAATTCATGTGTGATTAATGATGTCACTCGACATGTTAGCAAGAGGGTCACCTGTGCTACAAGTCAACATCGCGACCAATTTGTATAAACTGGCCCGGGCATGTACTCTATGAATCTAGCTGTAATTCTAGTCAAACAAATTCATGAACGGAGTCAACATTTTAAACGGAAGCAATTTAGCGTTATTTTTTTTGTTTTTGTGGTTAAGTTGCTGGATGTGAACGACAAATCCTAATATTTTACGCAATGTTTATTTGATTTCATTTTTGTACCTCAAAATTACTATATTGTAAATTGCTAGAGCGGTGGATTATTTGCGAAGTAGTTTTTAGTGATTTTATTTGTAGGAATTTTTCAAAGTGTGCTATGAATGAGATTTTTACATGTGCAGAGTATGCACCTGGTGCAGAATGTGCATCTCGTACGGAACGAAAGCTAAAACGTGTAAAAGTTCAGGGAAAAAACAAACAGCTGCTGTTGGACGTTGGGCACTAAAGATCCAATTTTATGGCACAAACAGTAATCTATCTAGCCTAAACGTCACAAAAAACCCAAAGTTACAGCCACGAGTGCTTTTTGTTTCGTTAAAAGCACAACCTAACACCACCGCAACTTTTTTTTTTTATATTTGTATATCTCAGAAAAGGGGCATTTTGCAATATTTGGTCTCCATTTTAAGGAGGAAAAAGGGCACCCGGGATTTTATTTCACATAAATAAACAGATAGGTGTTAAATCTGAGTAAACAGACTTAAACAATATAATCTAAAGTAAGAAAAAAAAACACATGTGGTTATGTGGCGCAAGTCACCGTCCAACTGTCACTATGGATTAATTATCCCTTCCATCTATCCTGTTTTAGAGAGCCTAGATTTCAAAGAGGGAGCAAGCGAAACTGAAACCATGGAGACGGCTCCAGCGTAGATTGGTCGTAAGTGTGTATGTGTTGTGTTGTCGCATAGAAAGAAGGCTAGCAAACGGAAGAGCGACAATGTCTGCCCTGCCTGCCCAACCCCGATCAACACTTTCGTCTTTTCGTCACCTTCTCGCTGTTCGTAATTCAAATGCGGCTATCGAATGGTTTGGAACCCTTCCAAATCTAGGCACACTAATTTTCCGTTTCATTCCGAATCAGAACTTGCAACTTGCGGTTCCAAAAAAAACAAAACAAAGAAACGACGACAATAACTTGGCTGGTTTTATTGGCGTGGTTAACGTGGTTTTCTTTCTGTGATCGTGCAGTCGCCGATTTCTGTGAGCACGGCGAGTTTGTTTTACACTGGCGCTTCAATCTGAAACGAGGGGCTTTACTCGTGAAAATAATTTGGCATGGCGCAGAATTCCGGCTTCCCAACAATTCCTCTCTGGAAGCGCACAAATGGGATGTTTCGGTTAGGGATGCCGCGAACCACCCTAGGTTCGATTTCGAAAGATTTCGATATTTTCTAACCGAACTGATGTTCGATTTCGAAAGGTTTTGATATTTTCGACCGTACGGAGATTCGAATTCGAAAAATTCGCAACTTTAGAAAATCGTGGAGTTTCGAATTCGAAAATTCGAAGCTTTCGCGGTTTCTAAAAGTTCGGGTTCGATTATTTTGAATATTTTTTTACTTAAGGTTCGAGAAATTCGAAGATTTCGAACTTTCCTAACTTGAAATTCGAGAGATTCGAATGCTTCGAATTTCTTTAAATCTGAAATTCGAAAAATTCGAACGTTTCGAATTCTTATAGACATGAAGTTCGATAAATTCGAAGATTTCGAATTTCTTTCTACATAAAGTTTGAAAAGTTCGAAGGTGTCTATTCTCTTTTAGCACTAAATTTGAAAAAGAAACTTAGGTTTCAAAATTCTTTAAAGTCCAAGTGCGCAAAGTTTGAAGTCCGGTTTTCATGCTCCGTCACAGTTTCAGTCTCAAATAATGTTTTCATGCCTCACTGGTTTTCACGAAATCAGGTTTAGAAATGTTCGGATGTGATATTCAGATTGTGCGCAGTTGGTCAGGCAATTAAATGAGACGACGAGTGTCCCGGATGTGCTGGACTGTTTGCCAGTGCAGAGTGACGTGTGCAGATCAGTAATTGTGGCCGCCAGCCCGAGGGGGGGAGGGGGGTCTCTAACGTGCATCATGCAGTAGTGGTCACATGAACGCACTGTTTAACGACACTCATCCAGTTTGAAACGGCCAGGGGCAGGCAGGTGGTTGAGGGTCACTTGAGGCTCAGAAAAACCTTGAAGCAATCTGGCAAACTGCCTCCCCACCCCCTTGCACGCTGGTAGTAATCCGCTCGAACACCGCCCGAGTGACGCTGGCATAGAGTAAGTTTAGTTTGTACATGATGCGAAATCCTGAGACTGGGAATGAATTTTGAAAGAAAAAGTGTAGGAAGACAGAAAAAAGGGGACAGGACAACGTCTCAAACTCAGCTCAAGACAACGTCTCAAACTCAACTCAGCTGAAAACTGAGCTCAGGACAACATCTCAAACTCAACTCTGCTGAGTTTGAGACGTTGTCCTGTCCCTTTTTTTTCTTTCTTCTTACACTATTTCTTGCGAATTTCATTCCCAGTCTTGGGATTTTGCATCATGATCAACATACACCAGCTTGCCTGCACCTTGACAATTTTTTAGTTTGTAATTGTTTTGGAGGTTTATTTTCGGAGATGGAAGAAATGCCGAGCAAAAAGCACAGAAGCCGACACAACTTGAGGTCGAGGAGCGTTCTACCATACCAGCAGCGTCGGAAGAGGAAAAACGGGGGGAGGGCTTCAGTCTCCTCTTCCCCCCCCCCCCACAGATATTTCGGGCTGTTAAAGAAAACAATACGGGGAAAGAGGGAATGGTCGAGCTTATTTTATTCTGAAACTATTTATGCATATGTACAGCTACTGTTAGAAACTCGTTGTCAGAAGGCACTACTCGTCACATGCTTAGTGGTTCGGAAGTTCAAAGCTATGTCTTTTCGACCTAAAACTGTGCCATTGGTAAAAAAATAATAAATAAATAAATATAACAATAAATGCAAACAATAAAAAGCTGAAGAAAAAAAAACTATCAAGGATCCACCGGAAGTGTGGTATTCTTGATTATTCAGAGACCCAGAACTACGAAACAAATTTCTCCTACCAAAATGTGTACAGGCTAAAAGAAACACGTCCAAAAAAAAATTAAATGAAAAAAAAATAATAATAATAAATGTTTTTTTGTTTTTTTTTATGACGTGCCGAATTTGAGCAATATTAGAAATCTTTTTTCCCGAGTTAATTTATTCCTCAACGTGAAAAGAACAATGTATATATTAATTTGTATTCTGCTGATAGTAATGACATGTACTGTCTGTGGTGTTAATTTAAATGCAATACCTCAAACAATTTCGACGAAAAAAAAAAACAAGTTTAGGGTATAATTGCCTGTAGATACATATTTGGATATTCCTTCGAAACTCGTCTTGAACAACAATAATAATATCTTAAGACGACACTTACCTAGGTTATACATTGATCATTTCTAAAAAGTTTAACATCTCTACCATAAATATCTTCGGCTATAGCGCGCTTCAAATGTGGCACAAACGACAACTGTCAAAAACCCGTCGTCCTTCCTCGCTCCTTCGGGAATCTATTTCTTTAAAACCAAGCATGCCAGATGATTGAAATAAATGGCATTGTCTTTCGCAAAGAATGCGGCACAACATGTAAAAATGCGAGAAAAAAAAATTACGAATGTACCTCACTGCTTAAATCCAAATGAAACCGCCCGCCCGTCTTCCGAAGTTCGACGAACTTCGAACTTTTACCCTAAAAATTCGAAGTTCGTCGAACTTTTGACTTTTCAGGAATCGAAAGTTCGAAAATTTTCGAATTCTTTAGATTAATAAATTCGAAAGTTCGAAAATTATCGAATTTCTTAGCGTAGAAAGTTCGAAAAGCTTCGAACTGGAATTTCCGTAAAATTTCTCGATATGAAAAGTTCGGAAATTCGAAATCTTTCAAACCTTTCGAACCGCTTGATTCGATCATCGAAACTTCGATTCGAAAAAAGTTTGCGGCATCCCTAGTTTCGGTTGCGATTCAAGGGTAGATCGTGTTACGAACGTGAGTAAATCTGCGTGCTATAAAGTTTGTGGCGTTCGTAACTTTTCTTTTTTCAAACCTGTGCAATAGTCAAACCTGTGCAATAGATTTTTGTGGAATGGTGGGACCAAGAGGTGTTTCTTGCATGGTCCATCTAACATCACGGCGCTCACTTCGGGAGAAAAAAAGGCTTTTTCTGTCAGCTCCGCGCGCGTCTTTGGCCATATATTTCGAATATTTGAGTGACTGAATACTAGGAATTCGATTCGTGAATCGAATTATTCGGGAACTTTCTATTCGATTTGAGTTTGTATATTCAAATATTCGCACGCCCCTAGTTAAGAAGCTAAAAACAGTGCAAAGACAAACGAAGGACGAGCAGAAGTCCGTTTTCGTGTTTATATAGTTTCTTAATGCATAACCAAAGTACCCAAATTTCAACAGTACTACAAAATTATCTCGGATGCACTTTTTCCATACCCTGTGCTATACCTTGCCTCATTTAAGCTCCAATAAATATTTCAATAGCATGATCATACTTTCAACATTGAACCATTTTAGTCGTAGACTAATCGACATAAATCTTTTCCCTTTCGCAATGGACAAACAACTGTAACTCACTTATTTTAATGAAATGGTACAGTCACCATGGAGCGTGTAGTGAGTGTAGTTAGATGCACTGCATCGGCAACTGTTCTAAAGCAAAATTATAAAACACATGTCACATTGCAAAGTGTGTTCGGCAGTGACAAAATTATTTTTATTCTTTACTTCAAATCAGGCGAGAGCGTGGAATGCATGTACTATAATACGTTCTCCTTGGCCCTTTTGTAACCTGGCAATAGGTCTATTACAAAAGGTGCCCACCCTACCTTGCATCCTTTCTGCAAGTTTTTCCCGCAGGCCTAAATCATGTGCCCATCCCCCAGTTTCTCTGGATTTTCTCCAACTTCTAGGTTCTGACTGCCATGAGAGAAGAAAGCTGGACGTGCGGACACCCACTTGGGCAGCATCCTGTGCAGGAGTGCCTCGGTCTTTTTCTTCTCCTCCTCGAGCAGGCAGGTGCGTTCCTCCACCAGCTCCTCCAGGTTGTTGGCATACTTCTCCATCATGGCTATCATGTTGTCCATGATGTTGGGCTTCCTGCAGGGGACAGCAACAACCACAGTGTACAGCGACTGCTTTCTGCAGGCACAATAAACATGTGCCTGTGGCAGCCCGTGCTATTTTTTTTTTCCGAGTTACTTCTTTGGAGTCCATGTATAACAAAGAAGCGAATATACCGTAAAATACCGGGCAAGCGCCCACTCAAAATTTTGAGATAATAATGAAAAAATGGGGGATGGGCGCTTGTCTGGTCATCAATTCTACATATCAATGTACTGTGCATATTTTCTCCGATTTTACAAATTTGGGTATAGGCGCTTAATGTGGTATGGGCGGATGCACGGTATTGTACGGTAGCGAAGTGATTTCCGGTTCCCGTCGACTTCATTATGACCCTTCTCAGCAGGAATTCTTGCATAAATCTTCTTCACCTGGCATTCATAAATCTTTACCTTCGGCTAAAATCATTATAGAGCTGAGAAAGGTCGATTTAGTTGGGAACATAAGGCATAAGTTCTTAAACTTAAACTAAGCTGCTCCAGGGGGACCCCCTAGAGCACCCCAGGAGTCCCCTAAAGCAATCTGGAATTCTTAAACTTCTCAATATCGAGAAATGTGAATTTCTCTTCATTGATAATCAAAAATACCCTTCCTTAATTTTCTTGTCATTTAGACAATAAAGAGCAATAAAGCAGTGCAAAAGCCTACAGACCTTATAAACAATAATGCCCATGCTAAGGAATGTTTGGGACATAGCTAAGCATCAATATACAGCTCGTATATGCTGAAATTGTGCTTAGGCTGAAACAGCACTTTACTTAGGGGCAGGAACGACAGAGGAAATTTAGGAACTCGGGAAAATCTTGACTCTGGGGTCCCTTCTCATAGAACCCAATTTGAGAATCCCTGCCCTAAGTGTTCCCCAAAGTACCCCAAGGGTTCCCATAGCACCCCAAGTGTCCCACAAACTCCCAGATTTCCACAGCCGTCCTTATTCCTAAATTATCAGCATTAATTATTATTTTGGCTCAGGCCAGCCGCGACGACGCTGAGAAGTCAGTGGGCAATGCCAAGCAAGCCCGTGGTGCTGCAGAATACTAGGGTGCAAGACGTGGTGAACACAGATAAATAAATAGCGGTCTGCAGGTCGAAAAGAAAATGTACTTTTGGTTTAGACAGGGTTATGTAAGTTGCAAGCCATCCACTGATGCCCGACCATGTGCCAAAGACTCCCTCGTATGTGCATTGCTGTTTACAAGACTGGTAGGCTTCTGCAATGAGTCGCTATGAATCACGAGAGACCTTCCTTTAAACCGCAAAGTCTGAGAACACCTCCATTAAAGGACCACTAAAAAAAAAAAAGGCGACGCGTGTCAAAAAATAAATTTTACGCGAAAAATTCTTTTTTTACCGCAATATTGATGGCGAAAGATTTATTTGAAATTCTGCGCGCAAGATCCATGACGTCACGGAATGGTCATTCGCTCAACGAGATAGCAGTTCGCACTTTCCACCTCAACATGAAGGTGAAGCCAATCCACGTCTCCTCCATGCACCCGAAATGCCGAGAGAGAAAACAAGTCGAAAAGAGGTGACTATCATCTCAATTGCATCTTGCACCGTCAATGTTGCAATAAAAAAAAAAAAAATTTTTCACAGAAAATGTATTTTTTTGACACGCGTGTCCCAACCAGACTGTTTAAAATTTTTTTTTTTTTCTGTTCAGGAGTCTTTTAAGGGATGCCAGAAAAATTGAGCATTCCTGTATTAATCCACGCCACAAAAATGTCACGCTGTTGCCTGTCTCGATCCTGGCGGTGACACACCGACAGGGGTGGATGTGGTAGACACCTTTTCCACTGCTCATCCCTCTCCAGCCTGACAGTCTACGAAAGCTTCCGCGGTCAGGACGCTGGACAGTTAAATTCGCCTTAGCTCGTACATTTTGCTGAAGCTTCTATCACCTCCTGCCAGAATCGGGACATCCGACAGCAAGACACGGCGGTACAATCGACTCATTAATTCAAACCCTTTTAATTCAAACTTTCGGATAATTTAAACCAACATGCAGGTCCCATCCTATGCGTCTCTTTGAGAGGAAACTCCCGGTAACTCAGTCTCTGCTTTATTCAAACAAATTTTCGGTCCCCCTCGAGTTTGAATTAACGAGATTTGGCAATTCTTGCAATGTCATTTATTGCCTCTTCGGGGTCACTCGATCTAAGAGCAGTGTGGGACGGTAAACACACGAGTCGAAAATGCGTTTCCTGCACCGCAGCGCGACTGTGTGGATGCCGGACAGCGTCTGCTCACATTCCCTGGCGCATCTTCTTGAGCCTCTCCTGGACTTGGCTGAGCTCCGGCCTGGAGTCGGGCTTCTCTGCCCAGCAATCGTGCATCACATGCAGCACATAGTCCTGGCACTGGAGGGTCTCCACGGGCGGTCGGAACAGCTCCTTGCCCATGGGCCCCTTCTTGACGGCCTCCACAATCACTGTGAGAGAGCGAACGTTGCACCTAAGGACCCTCTCGCTCATTTGCAACAGAGTTTATCAAAAAGTCTAGAGCGTTCCAAACTTTTTAATATCGAGAAACTTTTACCTGCCTTGAATGGCCACCAAGGAACCGGTCCAGACATCGATACAGCAAAGCAGTGCAAAAGTCCTTGTACACAACAATGCACATATTACTAAAGAGTATGTAAGAATAACTTGACTTCCCCCTGAACTAGAGCACAACTCACACCTTCCAGGCAACTGGTGGCTGCCGACAAAATCCGCCTGGTCCAGGATTCAATCCCAGGACCTCTCCAAGGCTAGCAAAGTGCTCTACCAACTGAGCTAACCGGGAGCTAACAGTCAGTAGAACAAATAAATGTTAACAGTTGCCACCAGTCTTGATCAAGTCACTGCAAAGAATAGATTGGATGTTAATAGTTGAAATAATGATTTTCACGGGGAAGTACCCAAGGTGGAGAAGATATATGTAAGAATAAATTAACTTCCACCCAAAATTAATTTTTTCGGATATCTTTAGCAGTCACCAGTCGCCTAGAGCAGGGGTCTCAAACACGCGAACGGTAGGTCATACGTGGCCCGCGACTACAAGCCCCGATTTTCTTGTCTCGAGCGCTAGAAATGACTTGCACCATAGTGATCTCACTTCAACGATTCATTTTCACTTAAAAAGTAGCTATGACCTTTTAACGTATTCACATAGTTTATACTTATCGGTGTTAATTTGCCCTTTGTTTTGTTTTACTTTTGCTTTATTTTTTGTAATGTACTACAATTCCGCTATTAGGCTGCAAGTGCGAGCTCTTCTTGGAATGATGCATCCCGTGCGCAAACTCTCGATCAGCAGAAGCAACTGCCAAAGATAAAGCGCAACATGCTCGGGATTCTCGCCTTAAAACAAATAGCACCATTAAAAGACAAGTATTTGTTCAGTGTTGTAATAAAAATTGTCAAGAAAGCAAGAACTACCAAATTAACTGAGTTTTTAAATACATGTTTAGATTGGTTAATAACTGAGTCAACTGAGCACCACAAACAACATTGTACTGGCTCTCTTTTTTGTTCTATTAAAAATGCCCGCACGTTGGCGGGGCATATATATTATAAAAAAATAAATAAAAAATCATATCATTTAGACAAATCAAATCTAAAGATGTCACTGGCAAAAATGGGAGTTTAGTAAAAGCTAAGAGCACAAGGCTTCTTCTCTTTAAAATCTTTTAAAAACCATGCACCCCCCTCCAATTTACGTTAATTGGCCCTCGACCTTTCCGGTGTGGGCTATCTGGCACCCACACTCAAATGAGTTTGAGCCCACTGGTCTAGAGCAGGGATTCTCAAACTGGGTTCCAAGGAACACAGGGGCCCACGAGCTGGTCTCATGGGTTCCGCGAACACCCAAATTGCAACCCCCTCCCTTCCCCCCCCCATGCCGCAGGCTGCGCGGCAGGACAATGCAAAGTACCTTCATCTCACTTTGTACTGACATTGCGATTGATATGGTGGAGATATATGGGAAGCAACACAAGCGAAATTGCCTACAATTGTGCATCTGTAGCTTCTCGGCTGGCAAATATGGAGGGGGCGGGGGGGGTTCCGTGGCAGTTTTTGAGGCTTCCTGGGGTTCCGTGAGGCCAAAAAGTTTGAGAACCCCTGGTCTAGAGGGTGCAAGTTGTGCTCTACTTCAGGTGGAAGTACGAGTTATTAAAGCAATAGCTTTATAGGGCCAACCAGCCTCAGGAGCCACACAATCACCACATGTAGATTGGTCAATCCGAAAGTGCAAAACAATCTTGAAAAAAACGGCAATCAGTGCCAGAGATTTAACCCTGGTCATTGGCATGGAAGCCAAATGCGCTGCTGACTAAGCTATGAGCCCAGCATGTAGCAATGGGTGGAGCAGAAGCAGATGTCCGCTCAGATGTCGGTGTGGGTAAAAGTGTTCCACTCCAAAACGGGCGGATTTCTCCCTGTGCCCTTTAGCATCATAGGCTCACTCTGTGGCTCCTTATCGGTGGGTCCCCAGGGCCCCTGTCTGCCGATGATCTCGTGCAGGATGATGGCGAAGGCGTAGACGTCATCCTTCTGGCTGCCCCTCGGGAACGCAGACGGGTTGCGCAGCACCTCCGGAGAGCGCCACATCTGGCCTGCGAGTAATCCAAGGGCTCTTGTCAAAGCCATTACCATAGTTTCTGGACTACAGTCCATTTTACTAGGGTGAGAGGAGAGAAAGAAACGAGCCTTCATGTTTGGGCAGTTCCCGTAGTCCCTTTCCCTCTTTTTCCCTGCTGAATCGGTTGAAATGCCCGTCGATGACGGTTGGTTTGTTGTCCGACATCAGGATCGGATGCATGCGCTTTCTCTTTCTAGAGTGCAGCTCTTAGGCGCTTATTTCCGGTTTGAACGGCGTCACCGTAGTCGTAACTGCACGGTGCATTATGGGTCGTTTCCCATAATTACGTCACACGTAATGTCACGAGGGTTATGAGTCACATTGCGAGTGACGTCATTATGAGAAACGTTCCATAATGCACTGCACGTGACGTCACAAGTGACGTCACGTGCGGTGCATTATGGAATGGTCTATACATATTTAAAAGTGGGATTTGTATACGGTGCAGACTGTATACAACGGTTTGTTTTTGCTATATTGTTTATTGTAATGAGACCGGGAGGATTTTGCAAATGACAGTATATTAATAATAAGTTATGAATGATACAAGCTTCCTTGTGAGACAGTAAAGCAGGCATTCGTAAAGGTGCGTTGTTGACACTGCCAACAAGACTGTCCCTGAGTAAGGTGACACCCCGTAAGATGTCAGTGAGCCAGCGAGACTGTCCCTGGAGTAAGTTAAGACTTTGGAAGATGTCAGCTGACAAGACTATCTCTAGAGTATTCTGACACCCTGGAAGGTGTCAGTGAGCTAAAGAGACTGTCTCTACAGTAAGCCGACACCCTGTAAGGTGTCAACAAACCAACAACCATTTCTAGAGTAAGTTGACACTATGGAAGGTGTCAACAAGCCAAAGAGACTGTCCCTGCACACCCTGGAAGGTGTCAAGAGCCGAGCAAGACTGTCCATGGAGCAAACTGACGCCGTAAAAGGTGTCACCAAGCCAACAAAGCTCACCTGGAGTAATCTGACACCTGGGAGAGCGTTATACTGACCCCGGTAAAGCTGGTAGTCATCCTTGTTGGACTTTGTAGACGCATTGCTCGTCCTGAGCTCGAGCAGCCCGAAGTTGGTGAGGCGTAGCACCCACAGGCTGGTCACCAGCACGTTGGACGACTTGAGGTTGCCGTGAACCTTCAGGTCACTCTCGTGCAGGTAACGAAGCCCCTGCAGAGTGAAGGCACCTTGTCAATGCTTAATTGGTTTTTCAGACCCCTTCAATGTCGTTCATTCAGCTCTCGTAGGTTGTTTTGCACTATGCCTTTTGTACGCACTACCATACCATAAAATACAGGGCACACGCCCATCGTACAATACGGGCCCACCCCTGTATTCTATAGCATTTGGAAAATAGACAAATAGTATATCTTTACATGTTGTTGACCTAAGAAGCAGCCATCCCCCAGTTTTACATGATTATCTCTAAATTTTGAGTGGGCGCTTGCTCAGGATTTTAGGGTGGCCTTTTGCCTCTATCTTCTCACACATTAGTGGATAATATTATAGAAGACTGCGAAATAATGCAATGGTGGGGTGCTAGACTTTTGATACCGCTATCAAAATTATCAGGAAAATAAAAGCCATCCCTGTGAAGAGGTTTTTGGAGGACATGTCGAACTTTGCCAATTGCCCAGTGAAATGGGTGACAGTGTGTCTTGCTATGTTACCCAACACTGGTAACACAAGTGGAATTCCTAGAGCAGTGTCATTGTGAATCCAACATGCAAGTGTGCTCAAACAAAAAGACAAAGAGTGGCCCTAGAAAAGTGGCAGAGATTTTAAGAAGGAGGCAAAACAAGTAACAATGATATGAGAATCAGTCTCCTGCAGAAATACCTCAAAAAGCCTAACACTACTCTGTTTCATACTTAGTATACAATGTTGTCGAAACCAAGGTTTCATTTATGGTTTTGTTAGAGCAAGAATATGTGCAAATGATCTGTGAGGTCTAACCCCATGCTCACACCAGCAGCCTTGACAGCGTTGTACACTAAGTATAAAACAGAGTATAGATCGAGCTATCATAAAACAAGTAAAAAAAATGTTAAAAACACTGTGCAAACATATGAGAAAAAGAAAAGGGAGAGGTATTCGTTTTTGGCCTTCACCAGCTTGCCTGTCTCTTTTCTCTTACTTCTTCAAGCAATGAGAAAAAAAATTTTTTTCTTGCATAATGTAGATTGTAGAATTAAATTTAAAATCCAGAGAGATGCCCCACCCCTGAAACGCGACCCAGGCCTATTCTTGGCTTGATTTGCTATTTTCTTTTAAACACCAAAAGATAGCCTACTCCTAGTAATTGTAGTGTTCAGATCAACAATACATGATCTCGGCATAAATGGGTCTAGTTAGCTCTGGCAGGATTTAAGTAGACATCGCTGACTGGGAAGCAGTTACCTTTGCTTCATTGCCCCTCGCTGCGATGTAAAGTTTGGCAGGGACACATTAATCTAAAGATATAATTTTCTTTAAATTTTCTTGACTGCACATTGAAAAATAGCCCACTCTTTATTTTCACCTAATGTTCTCTCAAATTTAGGGTGAGCTATCTCTTGAGATAGTACAGTAATATATTGCTAGAATTTTTGAACTGCAGAGTGCTCTACCATATTATAGACAAACACAAAAATTATGGATGACACAACAAATAAAGATGAATAGCTAAGGTACAAAAAACGCTTAGGGCAACCCTTATGACCCTGACAAAGTGGCTGTATCGAACGGTACAGACAACAACAGGAGGCAGGATACTTAAGTTAATGTGAAGATAATGAGAAAATCACAATTTAATGGGAACCAAATACAAATTGCTTACAAGAATCTGGGACAGAAGTGTAGCTCAATTATCAAACATGCAATACTTAAGGTGAGACATGGGTCTTTGGAGAAAAAAAAATCCATCAAAACAGGTTTTTTTTTGAAAATGGTGATCTCAATTTCTACAGCTATTTTTCTTTTGATCTGCCAAGCTTCTTATTTTAAAGATTAATATTTGAGCCATAATTTTATTTTGTTATTATCTACAGTGTGATCCACTTATGAAGATAATGAGAAAGCCTGAAATTTCGATCGTTATAACCGATCATCGTAGTATCTGGCCCAGAAACGGATTGTTTCTAGTCTAGACACTTTAGAAACTGATCACCATAAGTGGTACACCCTTATATGTGGTATCGTTGTAAGTGGATTGCACTGTATATAGGATGAAATTGAGCTGAAACTGGTGCTTAAACAATCCTTTCTCAAAACACAAATTTTGGACTCCTTACAAATTTTCAGGAGGGATATCTCAGCATCTAGGGCAGAGTGAAAGATAACTTTTTTTTTATCGCCATGTAGCTAAATGTGCAAAGCATGCAATGTTGGAAGCAGAATTTTCAATATAGGGGTAGAAAAAGTTTTAACTAAGAAAATGTTTTATTGTTTGTTAGCCCCACAATGAGCACTGAATTTCACTGTGTTGTCTAAAAAGTGCTTCCAACATTGCATTCTTCATAATTTGAAGCATATAACTATATGTTAAAACATTCGTTTTTAAAAAATTATTTTTCTTTATATTTTGGAAATAAAGTCTAATTAATTATATTATCCTGAGCAGCTACCTACTAATAAAAAAAAAAGATATTTGAAGTCAGCTCAAAAGTCTGAACAAGCTGTGCTGTTTCATTGGGCTTGGCCAAAAATAAAGAAAAAACCCCAAGACGCAGTGTTCCCCATTAACCAGGTAAGCAGAACATTGACATTTGAATGCACCTGTCTCTCAAAGTTTAAGAGAATGGGTTTCCCCAGGCTCCCAAGTTCCCTTAACCATCACTATCCCTAACCAAAGTGTTTTCCCCACTTAGGTACCGTTTTAGCAGATTTCAGCCTCCCATTCATGGACCTACCCCTATTGCATTTAGCCAATCAGTCCCTTGTGCTATGTACATAACAGTCTACAAGGTATGTACGGTAGGCTTCTGCACTGGTGTACTGCATCCATGCTAAGACCAGAAGGGTTCCTCAGACATCAATCGAGAAGACGGGTGCTCGCTGGGATCAAAAAGTCCCTGGATGTTTGTTTTACTAAGTCCTCACGAAAGAAGGCAATATAGTGAAAACAATTACCGCATCTCCACGTGGTGAATGATGCTGAATGGGGCGAAGCTCTGGTGGTGCTGATGATACTGATTTTGGTCATAGGTAGTGCTGATGGTGCTGATTTTGTTTGTGCTGATGGTGCAAAGTTTAACGCGATTATATACGCATTTGACCGCAGCACCCCCTCCTGTATAGAAGTTGAGCGGCTAGATGCAAAGTTTCATCCATGACATCCCCATCTCTCGAGTTACTATCACATCTCAAAGCCCCCTACTCGTCCCGCAGTCGTGACCGAGTGTTTAAGGTGATGGATTAGAAATCCATTAGGGTCTCCCCGCATAGGTTCGAATCCAGTCGACTGCGCAAACATTTTTTCTTTTTTTTTTAAGAAGAAAGATGGGATGGCAATTGATGCAAGCACGGATGCCGAACGGACAAGGCTAGACCCTAAGGAGCTTCGCCCCTAAAAATTATTTCCCTGTACAGTGGAGCTTGCCCAGACACCTTGTAAGCTGCGACTACACCAAATTGTACCTTGGAACTTTCACCATGGTTTCTCCACATACCATTGCCTTTCCCCTCTCCCAAAGTAATTTCAGTTTTGAAAAAATAAGGTGTATTCATTATGCTCGTGTTCTAGAGATACGTATTAAATCAAATCTTACAAAACGTAGACTGCACAACAAATGCAATTTTTTGTCTCCATGGCTATACTCCAAGAGAGTAGAAAGAATCCAGTTTCTTACATTATGCACACCATACATTGCTGGATTTTAGGAGAATTTCTGAACACAAAAGCTCATGCAAGAACTCACCTTGATGAGATCAAACACAAATGATGCGATGAACATGTTGTCTAGCTTGATGACGTCATTTTCAAGAATGTCCTGGGAAAGAAAACAAAAGCCTTTTCTTCAGAAATGTTGAAATTATGCCCCAAGCTGCTGCACTAGGGAAAAAAGCAAGAAGGTAGGTTAAAACATCGTACACCCAATAGGTGCCACATTTCCAGAAAACAAGCATGGACTGTATAAGTGTCAGACACAAATGCGCCTGCCTTCGTTTTTCTTTCAATCTGAGATTTGAGAGCTTTCTTTCATCAGCCCGAAACCAGGAAAATAATGTCCTGGAGTTTGGCAACATGATTATGTAAGTAGGTGTCTAACCTACCCCTGTCAATTGAGTGCACCTCAGCTCACCGAACGTCACTTCAAGTGTTTCGGTGCCACAGGGAAAAGTTAGTGTCACTCAGAAACGATGGCAATAACGATCAGTATAATAGTATTAGACACGCAAAATGTTTAAGTAAATGCATAAACGTTTCGGTAATATTTTGGCTTTTTAATAAAGAGACGTTACGAGACAATGCTATGATAATATAATGAACAATACTTTTGCCAATTGGACGATTCTGATTGATATTTGCAAGCCAAGCTAAAGAAGAAGCAGATCCAAACTTGGCATTCCGCTTTGTCCCACAAAGGCTTCCAAGCCCTAACACTGCGTTATTAGATCATGATTAACATGTTGTCTAGTATAGCTACATGCTGAAATTGAAGTAGGCTCCATCTTTCTCTGCTAACCAAGAAAGCACTGGAATGACTGACTTTGTCATTGCCTTTTATCTATTCTCTGCGGTGCTAATCTTGGAACAGATCAGTTTACTAAAGGTGGCCAAGCTGCGGCTCATTGCATGTTAGTGTGCAGCTCGCAGCTAATAAATATCTCATTATCATTAATATGTCAGACTCAGTATCTTTTCAGTACTTATCATTCAAGCAGAAAACGCCCTGCCGTGCATGCATATGCATCGACAGATATTACTAAGAGAGCTACTGTGCCTGGTGTCATCTTTTTCCACAGTTCAGACTAGAAAAATGTCAGAATGTAAAAAGGCAATTATCGAAATGGTCTATACACCTTTGCAGCTCTTAACACCCAGGCAAAAAGTGCCGAGTCGCTGCTGTAGATGCAAGAGTATTGTCTCGTATTTCGCAAAAGGGTATTACCACAACTGCTCAGAATGCATTGCTCCGTCAAGCACACAAAGACAGCAGTGAAAGAAAGGCGATTATCTAAATGGTCTCCGGAATCAACCCGTAAAACATCCACGGAGTGCTATTAAGCTCAACTTACAATTATGAGCGTAGATTGTGTTCGGAAAGCCCGGTGATAAGCCGGGACTCACCTGAAGATTTCCTTTCATGCAGAGCTCGGTGACAATGTAGATGCAGTTGGGTTCCACACAGGCGCCCACGAAAGGGTTCACATTCTCATGGTGGAGCTCACGCATCTGGAAACAGGAGTGCAAGGCAGTATTGAGAATGTGGCCTGCCGACGTCTCTTCCATCCCAGTGTCCTAACCCTTCTGAGTGAGTCTTGCATTTGCTGGAAAGTGTGCAGAAAAAAGGTGCACCCTGCACCAATACCAGTAGGCTGCGGTGCAGCAATTTATATGTCGCCTACCACCATAGAGTTAATATAATAATCCAAAGGGAAAGGTCCCGTGCATTCGGGCCGCTTTGGAATGGCGTTGCATAAGACGTGGACATTGGTGGTTCTAGTTGGTGGTCCCGACAGGCCCATATCGCTGGCAATGCCTTAATATAAACAAAGTAACAAAACATCACTTGTAAGGTCCCTTCCGTAATATCACGAGTCATCGCCCAGCCCCCTTAAGCCTGAAATTCACAAAAAAAAAGTGAGGTTGGCCATGTCTCAAGGGGCAAGCTTAAAATATATGTTTCGAAAAAATTACAGGAGGGCACTCAAGACTGCTTATGTGTAGGAAGGCGAAAGCATTACAGTCCCGCGGGAGAAATGTTTTCAAGTATAATGTTTCTACATGTATGAAAGTTTAGGACAATGTATAGGACGACGTCAAGGATGATGCCCTAGAGGTCGAACCCAAGTACGACGTTTAGGACTTCTAGGAGGACCTCTAGGACGACCTCAGGGATGACGTCGAGAACGACACCTAGAGGATGTCCAGGACGACGTCGAGGGTGACGCCTAGAGAAGGACACTTAAGGAGGCTGCGGCGTATTTGCGTGGGCGGCCATGTTTGCCTGCGGAAGCCGCCATAGATGTAGACGCTGGTGCCGATGTCGAGGCCATAGATGTAGACGCGGTTGCATCAAAGTCCATCCCACACAGCAAACGAGCACAGATGAAGTCTGAAGCGCACCTTTTGCACACGGCACTCTGGCGGCGACATCACGTCTCCGCACTTAAAGGGCAACTCCGCTTCCTTTTTGGTTTTGAAAAAACAATGCAGTCCTCTTCAGTATCGCCTAGGAAGACCACACGTGAAATCTTACGACGCAGTTCTGTCTAAATGTTTCTTAAACGGTCCGGCAAACATTGCAACTCGCCAAGTTGCTGAAATCGGCTGACTTGAGCGGGCGAATTCAGGCGCAACCAGCAGCGCAGTCAGGGCTACAGCATGGGCGGAGCCAACATTGAGCTAAATGCCATCTACATGGCCCCCTTTTGCTTGTTTTCACTTCTCCGGGCGAGCGTAGCGCATGACGTCAGCAACGTTGCCTCTCGGCGCTCAGCAGTGTCCACGTGACTGGCGTAATGCGCCTGCGCAGCGCGTGTCTTGGGAGCCGTCCGGCCGCCCGCCGTGGTCCCGCCATTACCACCGTCTTCCGCGTCACAACCGCCGTCGTCGTCTCACCGATTGTGATTATTGTCTCTTGGAGCTTCGTCCACACTACGGACACCACGTGCGCGCACACTTATGCCGCAGTTGTGCAGACGTCGTCGAATGCCGTAGACACCAAAACGTGGCGAAGAGTGCAGTGCAGATGACACTCGCGCCTGCCACACGCCCGCCCCAATCCCGCCCGTCGTTGGGCCGAGGATCATGTGACATCTCGTACCACGTGATGGCCATGTACTTGGAGACCCGAAGCCAATGTTGCCGGGCGGAGCCGAAGTTTCGGTTTCGATTTCCGCTCGTGTTTAAAATCAGATTTAAAAATATATATCCCATTTTTCGCGAAACAAACGACGTAGTGTGTTTTACTAGGGCTTTTTAATTAGAAATCAATCATTATCCCGAAATCTTGGGAATTGAGCGGAGTTGCCCTTTAAGCGTGAGTGTAAGTGGAAAGTGCTTGATGACGTATTTTTATGGCCATCTTTCAGGCAAAACGACGCTGTGCTTTTGCGTAATAGGACAAGTAAGGTCATCTTAGAGGTCTCGGACGACCTCAAGTACGACGCCAAGGACAGCATCGTCTTTGAGCCAACGACAAGTGTCGTCCCATTGAGTGAGAAAGCATTGTATCTTTATCGGCATATATGACGCTTTTTCGCTTTTGAAATACGGCAGTTTTTCTGTACGTATCTAGAGCAGCTGCACAAGAGGTACATTAAACTCGAAACTTCGGTTAGTTTAATTGTTTTATGCAACAAATACTCATAAGGAATATTTTCCTATCGCAAAAGTATACTGCTTGCATACGCGCAATCAACACCGCCGACCGGCATACAGCGCAAAAGTTTCTTCCGTGAAAGCACCTATCTAACACCGCTATGTTTTCTTCGTTAGTAAAAAAAAGAATTCCTTAAGAAACTAGACTAACTAAACCGGGCGCAACGAGCTAGCGAGTGGACAAAAGATGCGGTGAAGAGCGATGAAAAGTGATGCTGGGGAAGCAGGAAAGCCAGGGATCACGTTGGCAAATACTTTGGCATTGGGCCAAATCGGGTGCCTTCCCAATCGCAAGGGGCAGGCTCTTGCACAAATTTCTTGTTTGGTGCGTACATGCGTGCGTCTGTGCCCGGCCTGCTATCAACCAATACCTCTAGATAACAATGCCTAGTGCTGATAGAGATGTTGTCATCAGCGAAAGTCAACGCTGGGTACAGGTAGGACACGATGATTGCGTCAATGTCTGGCTCAAATTTAACTCAAAGCTAAGTGCTAAGATGGCACTCGTTTCCAATCTGTGTCCAGCGCTGGCCTTCACTGGTGATGCAAAAATGTCAGCACTACGGCCTTGTTTTCTAGGCAGTGTTGTATCAACGCAGGTTGAGGTGGCGTTGCTGCATGGCGTGGAAGCTTGCACCACATATTCGGAGCTCAAAACGGGGCACTCTACAAACATCTGTGTGCAGTGTTCCAGCGAATCTTTATTTACTCATTAACTTTGTCTTAAATGTTGCACAACCTTACCAACCGCGGTTGCAACGTTCCGGGAGAAGGAGCACGGGTTTGTGGTGACCTTACTCCAGTGGAGACGGACTTTGACCTTGCACTTTCTAGTCATGTTCCAGGATATGGGGCATTCGCTCTCCTCACAATCCCTGAATGGGTTACTGCTGGTGTTATCTTTCAGACTTTGTCTTCTGTACAAAAAAACCTTTTTGTGAACAAAACAAAGTTTAATTTTTTTATCTCTGTTGTTTTCCTTTCACACACATGTACTACGACTTTGGGGTCGCAGAAATTGGGGAGGAAATACGTACACAAAAAGAAGTGCCTTTCCATCCCTCGTTTCGCTTTGTCATGGACATCGTCCAACTGTCACGTCCGTGGCCGTGTCATTAGAGTAGGATAAACGCTCACGATCACGGAGTCCGCGTTGGGGCATTAGTAGGAGTGGGCGATCACTCTGTTTCTTTAGAAATCAATATTCGCCCAAAAAGTGCAGTGTGCGATAACGGTGATGGGCGATGACTCGGGATACTACGGTAGTTCTTTTCTAGCATTCTTTGCAGAAAAATACCGGAATTGCACATTGTACAAAAATAAAAGTTGACAAGAATTAAGCAACTTCAACTCGTCGCAGCGAAACGAACACACTTAACCTTTCATCTGCTTTCTTTCTCTGCTCTTTTGTCGCTCTCTTTCTTATTCTTTTTCTCAGAACTACCGATGCCAACAATCAGGATCTGCTGCGCTCTGCTCCCGCCTTTGCCCCCTGCCGACCACGGGCTGGTGAGTGGCACCGATTGAACCCGAGTTCTGTGCCAGCATTTAGCCGGGACTCGTGTTCAATAACTGAGCACACAAGTTCTAGCCAAATGCCGACTCAGCACTCGTGCGGTTCGCTTCTGTTACAAGAGTGTGCTACCACAACTTGCTAGGAGCCAGTCATATAACACATTCTGCACTAAAAGATATCTGAAAGCAGATAATAAGTACTGCACAAGGTAGCACAACCTACAGGCTGTAGTGTGAAGTAGTCAGCTTAGGTTTGCCGCTAGTGAAGGATGCCAGACTTCCAATCCAAACTTTTAGATAGTTGCTTCGAACTTTGATTAAAAGTAACGCAGAACTAAAAGCTTCATGCCCAGTCATCACTGTGTGGCGTATACCTTCAGGAAGCTTCAGAATTCTGCGTAGTGTGATTAATTTACGATCAACAGAAATTGGTCTTACGACAGACTGCGTACAACACTTGATTTGGTTATTTACTTGAAATCTTTTATACAGATATAAGGTGCATGAGTGTTTGCAGTGTACATATGTACATTCCAATTATTCTTGGTCTTGGGTAATCAGACAAAAAGGTTTACATTAGAGTACCGATTCAGTGCTCCACTGCACGGGCAAACTGGCCTCGACTTTAAAGCTGGGAAGAAAGTGCAGAAGAATACAGTCGAATCTCAAACCCGAGGGGGACCGAAAATTTGTTTGAATAAAGCAGAGTTTGAATTACCGGGAGTTTCCTGCCATAGAGACGCGTAGTATGGGACCTGCACGTTAGTTTATATTATCCGCAAGTTTGAATTAAGAGGGTTTGAATTAACAAGATTCCACTGTAGTGTCAAGACATGTGTCGAGACTGTGTAGCTAGGTGCAAGGACTCACGCTCTTCATTTCTTTCTTGAGGATGCGTGGAATGTCGGCCGACCGTCGGCTGTACATCAGCTTCTTGACGTACGTCATGGTGCCCCGGTAGCGGTATGTGTCCAGCGACAGGTTCAGGATACGCGAGTCCGTCGTCATCTGGCTGATGATGCTCATCTGGTGAAAGAAAAAAGGGACGTACACCAAGGTACTGATTATACTGGGCCCCAAATAACGAGGGTATTGCGTCGTGCATAGCATCAAGCAGCAGACCCTTTCTGAGAGAAATTCGGGCCACGACGAACACTATCATCACCTGAAGGTGGGTTAACACATTTGCACTAGAGCTTGATAGACTGCATTGCAATCGTTTGCAACCACCCATGTGGACAAAATACTCGCATTGCTTGTCCGGTAGCCCTAGGACAATTCTGACCCGAGTGTGTTACCTCTTATAAACATTCGCCGGTGCCAAAAAAAGAAATTGGTGAAAACCAAGAGACACCAATAAACACCCGCTGGTGTCAGAAATACGACCATTTTCACAATTCTAACGCACACTTTTTTTTCGCCAAAATCGGTGCCTCTAATTAGATGCGCATTACAATCGAAACCAAAAATCAAAACTCAAAAGTAAAACGTAATATTTGGTATAAGGTGGCTAGCCCCATTGCCATCGTGACCGTTTGTTTACATTTGCCATTAAGGTATTCGTATCCACGTGGGATTTGCTATCTGCACAGCGTCAACCAGGGGGTCAAGTGATGCTCCAGTGACGCATAGAGAGCCTCAAGTAAGAGCGTGTTAAACTAAAACCATGAAGAGCATTTGCGATTTAATGGCGGCACCAGAGATGGCAGTATTTGCGACTCCAGCAAACTATGGGGGGGGTGCGTTGGTCAGGCAAAATGGCAGATGAAAGGAGGTCGTTTTCGTCATTCAGAACGCGGACCACCATGAATTTCTTACACTGCAGCGTAAAATCGGTGTTACATATGAAAGCAAAGCGATTTTTCGACAGTGAAAACCTTCTTCTAGTCAGTGCGTAGGAATGACACGGCAGAAGCATGAAAATAATTACTGGAAGCAATGTTTGTTTCTATGCTGCCTACGAGAACCAAGTAGCAATAGCAGACAACAGATTCAAAATGACCTCCTCTCTTGAGCTTCCCGGCGTTGCCGCTACGCGGCGTCGATTTTGCTGGAGTCGCCAATATACACTTTTTCGTGTTAAAAAAATAATTATCCTATCAAAACGAAACTAGCATCTAAAGAAAAACATTATTTTAACCTTCACATAATATATTTCAAGCATCTTCAGGGCTTTTTATAACCGAAGTTAAATTGAAAAACCACCCGCAGCCCCATAGACCCTTAGCAAAATCTTGCAATTTAATAGCACCCATAAACAGTAACCCCGCCCAGGTGAGCAGTTGGACACGCTCTTACTTGAGGCTCTTTAGCGATGCCACCTCTCAACGTCACGCATCTCTGCTGGTGAGTGCCACGCGATCTTCCCTTTCTTCGTGTTTTTGTAAGTTGGCATTATGTGGGTTCGCCGATTGTCAAGCTGACCGCCCCGCAAGCAGGTGGGCTCGACGGCCATGGAGCAGCATTTATGGGTGAGCCAAGTGGGTTAAGTTTTTTGTAATGAGGTGCCACAAACTGCCGCCGCCAAGCGGCGCGAATGCGGCGGGGGAAGGGGGGGGGGGGGAGGTTAAGCGCACACCCCGTTATAACCAAGGAAACGCGAAGAAGAAAAAAGTCATGTGACCTCCACCAACAGTAAGGCAGAGAAACATAATCGCTGGAGCATCATGTGACCTTCCTGTTGATGCTGTGCAAATAGCAACTCACATTACACACATTCTTTCTCTCACATCTACGGACTTGTGTCTGCTGTTTTAAGATGGAAAAACAAAAAAAATCTCCCTAGGTGGCTTCATTTAAACGAAAGGCCATCATGCTGGCAGGAAAAGATAATCATAGAGCTGCACTACATGACCTTGCAATCTCAGCGACCTGACGAGCTCGCGAAGTGTTGTTTCGAAGACCGCGGCATTTAAATTGCTTCAGACAAAAGCAAAGATCCTACCTCCGAAGACAGCAAAGAACCATCATCAGACTCTGACAACAGCAAGTAGTGCATGGTATTTATTTTTGTGTTGGCGTGCATTTCATAAAATTTGTTCTATGAGGTATGGGGTCAATCTTCATTATTTTACCTGTGCGGTAGAATCGGCAGCAATTTACTTTTTTTAATATCTGGAAGCTAACTCTGCCAGCGCGTTAGAGTTGGGGACACTTTAAAATCGTGCAAACATGGTATATCTGTTAAAATAAAAAACACCACTCTCTAACATGTTTTGCTCTGAGCGTAGGTATGTAACTCCACCCAGAATCAAGTGCCTGCAAGCTACGAATCAGTAGAATGATTGATCTTGGAGCACTTTCCTGCCATTTCACCTCGTACCGCACACTCTTTTTACACCACCTGTTTCTGCTCATCTCTTTCTTGTCTTTTCCACCCATGTCTGCTCTGCACACTTTGTCACACTACCTGCTTTTGCGCCTCCCATTCCTGCATGCTGCGTCCGTAGCTCGGTCAGCAGCGCACTTGGCTTCCATGCCAGTGACCAAAGTGCGACCCCTGACACCGGTTGCCATTTTAATGTGAAAGCATTAACTGTCTCATGGAGTGAAAGAACCAAACGGCTCTTTCACACCGCTTCAATCCCATTGGCTAGCGCGCGTCCACAGCCAACGGCACCTTTTACATCGCTGCAATCCCATTGGCTAGCCCGCGACGACCAGGCACCCATTTGCCGGACACGCAGCGCCATGGGGTGGCCGGTCATTTTTTTATTTATTTACCGAGTCCCTCAGGGCCTGAAGGCATTACAGAGGGGAGTGGACCAACGTAGCACATATATATATTACGAAATTTGGCCGTCTAACACAACACAGAACGTAAAAAAAAAAAAACAATTAGGAAAACAGAATATACCTAATCATGAACAGCATTTTTAAAATTGGCACTCCCGGTTAAGCCGGCGACAAGTGCGGGAAGGCAATTCCCTTCCAGTGACGACGTAGGTGTAAAGGACTGATTAAAGGTTGATGTCTGACAATGAGAGATGCCTACTTTACATTGGTGATCGACACGAGATGAGACATAAGATGGTTCTGTTAACAGATGCTAACGTAGTTTTGGGTTATGATGATATGTCTTGTGAAACAAACACAGTCGAGCAATATTTCTACAGAGGGAGAGGTCAGGCAAGCCTAAGGTTATTTTCATTGTTGACACGCTAGAAGTGTGGTGATAGTTATGCAGTATGAAGCGCACAGAACGATTCCCGAAGGCTTCTAGTGATAATAAAATTGTTTTGGCTGGATCCCAAATGGAAGCAGCATACTCCAGTTTAGTGCGGACCAAAGATTTGTAGAAAAGAAGGTGTAGGGACAATGGTGCGCGGGAGAAGTTTCTTTTTAGGAGGCCCAGCATGCGATTAGCAGTATGAACTACATACTCCATATGGGCGTTCCATGAGAAGTTTTACACCAAGATATTTCTATGAAGATACAGAGTCCAGTGCAACATTTTCGATGTAGTAAGACGGACAAGTGTTATTCTGACGTGATACTCTCATGGATTTACACTTGCTGATATTTAGCTTCATTTGCCATTTATCGCACCAACAGGGAAATATGATCAGTTTGAAGTGACTGGACATCAGAATCATTAGTAATTTTAGAATAAATACCACAGTCGTCAGCGAACAGACCAATTGAGGATGAGACATGCAAGGGGAGGTCATTAATAAAGATAATTCTTTATTAATGACCTCTCCAGTTCTGACACCTCATGGCAACCTCCACAGGAGCCAAATGGCCAAATAAAGCGAGTAAATCAAATCAAAGTCACAAACAAAAATGGCAAGGACAGCCAACAGTAATGTCTTACTTAAAGTGGTACAGACAAGGCACTTTATACATGCTTAGACCTTTACTGAAACACAAGCCTAGAAAATCTAAAACAATCCCGAAAAGTTTATGAGTGACTCAAAATCAGTCTATTTTCCACTTGCAGGACTCCGATCATGAACCAGTTGCTCTGGGAATCCCCACTCAATTAGGAACGTGGAATGCGGAGTGTTTGGAAAGCCGTAATGAGCCATTGGTGAAGAAATTAGCATGTCCAATACCATGAAGCTAAACTCGGACAAGATGGTATTCCTCCAAGTAACAAATAAAAAGAAGCCTTTCCAGTTTACTTATACCACTGACAATACAACTATCCTAGAAGTAGAGGGACAATTACAAAAAATTTAAAGTGGACAAGACATATTCAAAACATTTGTTCAAAAGCATACCAGAAGCTTGGCTTCTTTTGCCGCAAACTAAGGAATGCCCCCTCTGATGTCAGATTTTTGGCTTACAATTTACTAGTCAGACCTAAGCTAGAATATGCGAACAATAATTTGGGACCTGCACACAGCCACTGACATTAAAGGGACACTGACACCCTCTAAAATTTTTTTAAAATTTTTTGCCAGGCGCTTTATTATGGTGTTGGAGGACTACCCAATTAATATTTTGCAACAGAGTAGCGTATTTTTTAATAAAGCCAAAAGACGGAACTGCTCGAAACCGAAACCGAAACTCGACGGGTCAGAAAAGTGGAGAGAAGAGAGTGAGTGGCGGAAGTCACATGGCTACACCCAACCGTGCGTTTTTTTTTTTGTTTTTTTTTTCTCTCCGTAGCAGACGACGTGCGGCTTACGGGAACTTCGCCGTGCGATTCGTTTGCAGTTATGTTTGTTCTGCTCGTTGTTCTGTACTCCAAGATGAGTTGTTTTGTACATCGAGGAGTTGGAGATGTGTAGTAAGTGCCCGTGCACGTGAATTTCCATGATCGGCTCCGAAAAGAATACAACCAAGATGTGGCGTGAAGAGCTGGCTCACATGTCCTGCGTCCGAAAAAAAGTGGCATTGTGCGACAGAGTTTCCGAAAGATCAACGGGATCGGGACCAATGGCTCGCTGCAATTCCTGTAGAACAATTACGGGCACCTCGGAAAGCGGACGCTACCTGATTTATATACTCCTTGCATTTTGTGGAAAGTAATTACATTAAGTTCGCAGGTGTCAAAAAGGAAATCCCATACCATTTAA